ACAGCAGTTGTTGACAAGAGATAGTGTGACTTTATCACAAGCCTATTCCCTAGTGCATAGTGAAGAAACTAGGAGAAAGGTTATGTTGCAGCAACAGCCCTCCGAATCAGCCTTGGTAGCAGTTAGACCTAAATTTGGGGGGGATAAGGAGAAGAAGGAAGCTAAGAAGGACTTAGTATGTGAACACTGCAACAAACCTAAACATACTAAGGACACCTGTTGGAAGTTGCACCCTCATCTAGTTCCAGCAAAGCTCAGAAATAAGAAAGGGAATGCTAATATGGCTGTCAACACTGATAGTACAACTTCATCAGGCACAAGAGGCACTCCTCTAGATACCCTAGCTACAGTCCGAGCTGCTCTGACTCGGCTAGAAAATGAATTTAGTAATTCAGCTCAGCCTACATCAGCTCAACAGCCTACTTCAGCCCTTGCTCATATAGGTACAAGAGTTACTGCTTGCCATGCTTTTGTCCCAAGTAATACTAGACCTTCCTGGGTAATAGATTCAGGTGCTTCAGATCATATGACTAGCATATCTACTCTATTTAGCACCTATTGTTTATCCTCTGGGAGAGACAAAGTTTCTATTGTTGATGGCTCTCTTGTACCAATTTCTAGCAAGGGAGACATCAGATTATCAAATACCATCACCCTATCTTTAGTTTTGCATGTTCCCAAGCTTAGTGCTAACTTACTTTCAGTTAGTAGTATTACTAAAAATCAAAACTGTTCGGTAACCTTTTTCCCTGATCGGTGTATTTTTCAGGATCTGGAAATGAAGAAAGTGATTGGGATTGGCTGTGAGATGAATGGAGTCTACCTGCTTGAACATTTGCAGGGGGAGCAGAGTGAAGTAGGGAAATTGTTTGTTTCTCAATCTTGTAGTAAGATTATGCTTTGGCACAACCACTTAGGTCATTTATCTTTTGGGTCTTTAAAGAGTCTTTTTCTAAACTTGTTTGAGTCAGTAGAAGTGACTGGGTTAAAATGTGAAAGTTGTGAACTTGCAAAACATAGTAGATCATCTTATCCTTTAACTAATAAAAGAAGCAACCTTCCTTTTGAGGTTGTGCATACCGATGTTTGGGGGCCCTACCATACTCCCACCATGGGGGGGTACAAATATTTCTTATTATTTGTTGATGACTATACCTGTTTTTCATGGGTCTATCTTATGCACTCTTAAGATGAGGTCCCCTCTCTGACCCAAGCTTTCCATCAGATGATCGTAACTCAATTTGAAACCAAGATCAAGATTCTTAGACCTGATAATGCCAATGAATACTTTGCAAAACCCTTGGCATCCTATCTCCTTGATCATGGGATCATTCATCAGAGCACCTATCCTCGCACACCTCAGCAAAATGGGGTTGCTGAGAGAAAAAATAGGCATATTTTAGAGGTAGCTAGAAGCTTCATGCTCAACTCCAATGCTCTCATATGCTTAACGGGTCCTAAGCATGCAAACCCCATTCAGTCTTCTATATCTAGATAAGGACCTATTCACTATTCCCCTCAAAACTTTTGGGTGTACTTGTTTTGTTCAAATCSTTGGACCTCATYGYTCYAAGTTTGATCCCAAAGCCACTAAGTGTATTTTCCTTGGGTATGCACAAAATCAAAAGGGATATTGCTGTTATGAGCCAGTTTCAGGGAAGCGCTTTGTGTTCATGGATGTCACCTTCTTTGAGGATATGCCCTACTATCATAAGGCTTCTCCTCAGGGAGAGAATAGTGAGGAAGGGATTTCAGTTTCAGCTCCAAGAGTTCCTTTACCTGTCCCGATTACTGAGGGGGGAGTTGCGAAGAAGGTTGTCAAAAATGCAGGGAGTTGAGAGTGTATCACAGAAAGTGGTGGAGGCAGGTTGGTTCTCATACTCAACAGCAATCCAGGCCAGTTCCAACATCTTCTATAGCTCCAGATCCAGACACTACTACTGCTCCCACTGTTGATCCCATAGTTACAGATGTTCAGCCTTCATCGACAGATGACCTTGATCTTCTAATTGCTATTCGTAAAGGGAAGCGACATTGCACCTTATCCACTGCCCATTGCATCTCCAAGTTCCTTTCCTATAATTGTCTCTCAGAATCCTACAGATCTTACTTGGCATCTATTTATGCTATTCCTATACCCAGAAAAGTGCAAGAAGCTCTTTTGATACCTGAATGGAAGGAAGCAATGCAAGTAGAGATGGACGCTCTTGTCAAGAACAACACATGGGAACTAGTTAACCAGCCTGAAGGAAAGAAACCTGTTGGATGCAGATGGGTGTTTATTATGAAATATAATGTTGATGGTACTGTAGAGAGGTATAAGGCCAAATTGGTTGCAAAGGAATTCAGGATTCACACAAACTTATGGCATAGACTATACAGAAACCTTTGCACTATTGCAAAAATGAACACTATCAGAGTTCTATCCATTGCTGCAAACTTCTCATGGCCACTATTTTAGCTGGATGTTAAGAATGCCTTCCTCAACGGAGACTTGCAAGAGGAAGTATACATGGAGTTACCCCCTGGTTTTTATAGTACAGAAGCAGGAAAGAAAGTTTGCCTTTTGAAGAAGGGCTTGTATGGGCTGAAACAATTCCCGAGAGCTTGGTTTGATAGGTTTAGACTAGTTTTGGACAAATTCGGATACACACAGGCCCAGTCAGATCACACTCTCTTCTTTAAGAAGACAGGTCATTCCCTGACTCTACTTGCAGTCTATGTAGATGACATTGTGATAACAGGAAGTGACACTAGTGAAATTGAAACCCTTAAACATCACATTCACAAGGAATTTGAAGTGAAAGACCTAGGAAAGTTACACTATTTCCTAGGAATTGAGGTAGCTCGATCTAAGCATGGCATTTTCATCTCCCAAAGGAAGTATGTTCTGGACTTGTTGGAAGAAACTGACAAGTTAGGAGTGAAACTTGTTGATACTCCCATTGAGCCTAACCATAAGATAAGTGCAGAAAGTGGAGAACTCCTTGAGGACAGGGCTATGTACCAAAGGCTGGTTGGGAAACTTCTTTATCTCTGTCCCGACCAGATATTTCTTATGCCGTTAGTATTGTCAGTCAATACATACATTCTCCTAAGATCACCCATCTCCTTGTAGTAGAAAGGATCCTTGCCTACTTAAAGAGATGTCCAGCGAGAGGTATACTCTTCAAGAGTAATGGTCATATGAAAATAGAAGTGTATACAGATGTGGATTGGGCAGGATGTGTTGATGATAGGAGGTCCACCTCTGGATATTGTGCATTTGTGGGGGGAAATCTTGTTTCCTGGAGAAGCAAGAAACAAAATGTTGTTGCTCGCTCCAATGCAGAAGCAGAATACAGATCCATGGCCAATGGTGTTGCAAAAGTGTTATGGCTGAGATCCTTGCTTAATGAGTTGGAGGTTGATTATGAGAAGCTTCTGATGTTGTATTGTGATAATCAAGCTGCAATTAATATTGCCCACAACCCAATACAGTATGACAGGACTAAGCATATCGAGGTTGACAGACATTTTATTCGAGAGCGAATCGCATCTCAAGAAGTATGCCTTCCTTACATTGCCTCAGACATGCAGTTAGCTGATCTCTTCACCAAAGCAGTCACAAAAAGCAAATTGGGGACAGATCTACGCAAGTTGGGCATGACAAATATCTACTCCCAACTTGAGGGGGAGTGAAGAAATAGTTGGTTAGCTACGAGTGTGGGGTTCCATACCCATACTCAGACTCTAGTGTGTGTGGTTTCGTACCCACACCTAGTTGTTTCTAATATCTTTTGTTAGTAGTTTCTTATTTCTGTTATTAGTAGTTTTTAATTCCTTTTATTAGAAGTTTATAATTTCTTTTAAGTTGGGTCGGCTGGCCTTATTGTTTCTAATTTTTCTTTTGTTTCTAATTTTTTGTTTATTTCCTATTCTTGTAAGGAACCTAAATCTATAAATAAAGAAGGGTATGGGGCGGCAGATCATTAACCACCGAACCCCTTCTTTCTTTTCTCCTCTCTTCACTCTTCTTCTYYYTCTCTCTCTCTYTYTYTTCTTCTCTTCGAACCTGTATTACTTCTCTAATACAGTAAACAGTTCTTCTTCTTCTTCTTTCAAGTGTCTATCAAGAAGAAGGACCCAATTTTGATTCCCTCATTAATAGATTTAGGGAAAATGTATCCTTCCAGCAGTACATGAGAAAAATCTTTCTTACGTCTATAAACTGTGGCTTCTTAAGCTGAAACCTAGGGGCTCAAAAGTCAAAATCTGATTTAGTAGCTCAACACCATGAGTTTGCAATATCAGCAAAATTTAGTGAAACTTTCCCAAAATCTCCCCATTTTGCTAGGTGGTGATACAAATTTTTCAAGAATATTATTAAAATTCTTTTGATGTTTCATTAAAATCATCATTTTTTAAAAAATCTTTTCTTACAAAAGCCAATGGGGAACCGGTTTTTGGATGATCGGTTTACTATTTTGGTATGATTCACTTACTAAGTCACTCTAGTGAAAAAGAAAATTCCACACAACTACAAAAGAGGATTCACAATTTAATTCAAACATATAGCAACAAAAAAGGCAAAAGTCAAAATGGCAAGTACTTTTCCTGATTTTTATATTTTTCAAATATCCCCAAAATTTCCCCATCTCTACATGGTGAATTGTCCATTGACATCGAAATTGCAAAGAAGGATACTGCCAAGATAAGCACCATCCATAAGTGAGAAGGAGCTAGAGTACAATAATAGGATAGAATTTTGAAATCTACAAAGCAGTTGAAATGGTTTTTCTATAAAAGCAATCTGCAAAATCTACATTTAGCCAATTGACTTCATCTAATTCAAATAAAAATTTGTTTCCTATGATTATGGGCTCCCTACCCTTTCAGAAACTTCTTTCCTTTCAATTTGCTGCAAAATCATTTAGGACTTGTTTTTGGGGTCCAGTTTGATCTATTTTGTACTTTTCTGAGTCCTTATTTTTGCATTTCAAATTATGTGAGGCAGTATTACTAATTATGATGTTTACAATTTTACATGCCAAAAAGAAAAATCTTTTGTTTTCTAATTACTGGTTTTGAATATGTTATTCTAGTTGGAATGGTTGAATACAAATTGGAGGTGCATTTTGAAACAAACCCAGCTACATATGAATTTGTTGGAACCATTTATTGCATTCAGGCGAGTACTGCTTCAAATTTTAGGTTGTAAAGATTGTGCCCTAGAACACCTTTTGCAATCTGCATCAGTTCTTCGTAAGGTTATTATCTTCATCTCAGAAAATGGATACTTTAGTTTGTAAGCACTTCCACTTTTCACAATGTCTATATATCATGTAATGTCATGCAGGGAAGTAGGTTTTCCCAAGCTGATGCAGCTTTGTATGAGTTTATGTTTATCAGTGGTGGAACAGAAAAACTGCAGACAGCTTCGTACATATGTGGCCTTGGAAGGGTACTAAGCTTCCTACTGCTCTTTTCATATTATCAAAACAGCACATAGTTTCTGGTTACAATGATTGACAGATGAAGATGCTATTTAGCATAAGTCAGAACCAATGTTCAACATTTGAGCATTGATTGAAATTGTCTTCCAGAAATGGCAGTACATTCAGTGATATATTTTAGAATAGTATAAATGTTTAAAGCATTAATATTTTAGGTAAGATATCATTTGTTCACATTCAAATTAAGTTTGTTATACTGAACCTTCGTAAAAGTGCATAAACACAAATAGTGGAAATACTGAACCAAAATACTGCGACATTATTGATGCTTAAACTTGTAACAATGTTGTAACAGGGAGCTATATAACTGTATTTTTTGTCTTTGTTTTTCATCTAAAATACAATATTTTGTTTATATAAATCATAGCTTAAATTTGTATTAAAAAGAAAAAAAATCATAGCTTTTCTACTAACTTATTTTCAGGAAAATCATGTATCAGCTAACATCGCTAACATGATTAAAAATTATGTTACTGCATAAACACTTTACCTTCGGATGTATATTTTGTAATTTTATGTATAAAAATGTCAATTTTTAATTAGTAACTTATGAATTTATTTTCTACCAGAAAAAACAAGGGAGTATCCACCAGCTTGGAGTTTGTAAGACTAGCCAATTTAACCTGATCTACTTTATATTTATGTTGGTTGACAAAATAGCCACATGAATTCCATTGCACTTCTAAGCCCAAAAAATATGTCAAATGTCCAAGATCTTTCATCTTGAAGGGTTGGCTCAAAAGATAATAATAATAATAATATCATCATCAACATATTACAGGAGAAATGTCACCCCTTGTAACCAATGTAAAGAGATAGTAATCTGAAGGACTCTAGTGATAGCCAGCATTAGTAATAATATATTGAAAGCATTCAAGCGAGGCCCTAGGAGCCTGTTTGAGACCATGTAGAGATTCCTTTAGGTGGCAAGCAAGCTAAGAGTCGTCACAATATAGGAGGGAGTTTCACATACATTATTTCTTTGTCAAAACTTGTGCCCAACTGAACCATTAGCTTCGATACCACTTATTGGGAGAACTAGGGGGAGTAGTCAAAACTGGGGAGTTTGTACACACACACAATGCTTACACACAAGAGTTGGACACCACTTCTAAGGCAAATGCTTAAGCTATTAGGTTGTGGGCAAATCCTTGTATATAAGTCCCTTGCCTCTCTTTTATTCCTTTCCAATTTGGGACACCGGACACCATCCACTCACATGTGAATCCCAACAGCATTAGAAGAAGAGGTATCAATACTTTGTTTTATTGACTCTTTTATTTTTTTTATAATAACAGCTTGAAGAAGCTAAGATTTTGCATGCCCAAGGTCAACATGAGATGGCTATCAATCTTGCAAAGTATATCTTGCATAACTATCAATTGGATGGGGAGGCTTCAAATGTCTATCGCTTGGTTGGGAAGTGGTTAGCAGAAAATTGCTCTAGCAAGTGAGTTATAAATCATAGTTATATATTGAACCCAATTCCAATAACAGTTGTGTTTCATAAACTCATTCTCATTCCTTAACTATGATACCCTTACAGCTCAAGAACTATTTTGGAGCAATACCTGAATCGTGCAGTGGAACTCGCAGAGCGTAACAAAAGCACTGACAAGAAGTTTGTAGCAAGACTGTGCCAAACACATTTCCATCTTGCACACTACACCGATGCTTTATTTAGGAGTTATGAAGAAAGGCTCAACTCCAATGAATGGCAAGCAGCAATGCGTCTGAGGAAACACAAGGTACTTGTTTAAAAAGGAAACTATTAAGCTATAGTGGTACTTTTTTTTTTATTTTCATGTGTTTTACAAATTGGTGCAGACAAAAGAGTTGGATGCACTCATTAGACGACTGAAAAGTTCAACAAAGGCAAGTATTACTGATTGAACCCATTTTCTTGGAAATATGTTTCATATTAGAGACATCCTCAGAAATGGACATTTTCCAATGTTGTTCTCAGGGAGAGAAGACCGACTATTCAGTAAAAATACAGGAATTACAAAAGCAACTTAGCATGGACAAGGAAGAGGCTGAAAGATTGCAGGTCTGCTTCAGAAACTTGTGGGCAATCTAGATTGCTCTCATGATGTGCCCCTTATAGGATTCAGAGGAATTTTTCCTGTTTATTTGTTTTTGTTTTAGAACTGGATACCATTAAGAGAAAATTTTAGGCCTTAATGACTATATTATTCTTTACATGCACAAGATATATGATAGACTAAGATCCATGATATTGACTAAATAACTTTTATTGTCATCATAATTTTACATGTACAGACAAGAATTCTCAAGCTGAGGTTACAAAATTAAATGCGTAAATTGCAAATAAATACTCATGCTTTTGTTTAATTGGGAGGTTAAATGTCAGTCTGTTGGATAAAGGAGCACTGAATGAAAATCTTCTACTGTTTATATAAAGCATCCATGACTCTTTTGTTTTTGTATCTTATATTTCATGTTAAGACATCTATCCTTTGCAAGAACTTAATTGGTTTACCCATTCAGCCCCAGACTAAACGTTTTAATTAGGTTCTGCATGCAAGATTTTAGGCATACATTTTAGACTGATAGCCTGATCCATGGTTTGCTGTTGTAGTGCCTAGGCCTTGCTTTGATGTTCTAAGTTATTTTGTTATATATAAATCATTGCTACTTAAGTCTTAACCTAACACTGTAAATGCTGCTGCTGCTGCTGCTGATGATGATGCCTATAGTCATGTTGTGAAATCATCAGACTGAAAAACAATATGAATTATTGTTCTGCTATCCTGGTCCATCATTTTTTCTCTTTTGGAGGACCATCTAGGTCTAAGCCACATGAGCTAAAAAGCTATATTAGTAAAATCATAAATCTGGAATGAGTCTTTTTCTCAGTAGGCTCATGGAATGAATGTCACCAAGTATTTGTCGGATTAGTTAGTCATGGAATGAATGTCACCAAGTTCTAGAAAAATGTTGTAATAATATAATTGGTAAGTTAGTAGCTTTTTATTGATTTGTTTGATGTGTTCATCATCCAATGGACACCCTTAAATTTAGTTCTTGGCTTGAGGTATATAAGATTAGCAACTAATTGCAATTAGTGTTTGTCAGTTTAAGCTGTGCACCTGGAGTTCCCTTCACCTTACTTTGGCAGAAGGTGTCATCTTTACCTTTACCTTTAGTAACAAACCCTCTTTGGTGCTGGTTGATGATCAAAAGAAAGAAATACATTAGTAATTCAAGTCCCTCTGAATATTGCAGATTACTATATTGAAATTTGATGGGAGTTGAACTCTCCATAGTGGTTGCATACAATCAAGATGTATATTGGTGGAAGGCCTAAGTTGGGATGTATGAACACTTAAAATCCGAAGATTACACTATACAGAAGGTGGAAAAAAGGAATTTATTGGCTATCAAACCTCCATCTCCATGTAGTCACAAATAAACATAGTTTTATGTTTCTTGGCATAGGTAAGAAGATTTTGGACTGCAATTATTGCACATACAGCGGGAAAGAATCAATGAAGAAATAAAAAACTTCCTGTTCCTATACCAATTTCAGAATTTTTGAGTGATCAAAGTATTGGTATTTTGAATTTTAAAATTTATTTTCTATTTTTTTGTCTCGGGAATAGTGCATTCGATTCTTAGAGAAAATAACTATTCTTATTAAATATTGAAAGTATTATTTATTTTAGACTTACTATTTATAGTCATTATCATCATCTAAGCCTTTTCCCAACTATATGGGATCATCTACCTGAATCCTGCTCAATTCAAGATCCATCACCAAAGGAGTTTGGTGAATGTTTAAATACCAGCTGCCAACCTGACATAACCCTTCTTTATCCAGGCTTGGACCGGCAGTGTAAGACAAGCTCTCACAGGCATGTCTACAAACAAGTACAAACTATTAAATACATGTTTTGGTGAACTTTAACATTATAATCCTATAATGTTTTTTGGGTGGTCATGATTTATTATTTTAATAGCTTCTGGTTTCTTTACATTAAGTTAGTTTACTAGGATTACTAATGGTTTATTATTGTTCTTTAGGAATTAGTGTCTTTGTTTGAGTGTCCCCGTTGGTTTGTTATAGTGTTGTATTGTAGTTAGAATTTATTTTGGGTCAGTTTTTTAGTCCAAATTGGAGTCTGCAAGAGCAGATCCTAGTTCTTATAAATAGAGTCATCGTACTTAACAAAAACAAAAAATAGATTTCATGAATGAAAGTTTGATTAATAAATTTCTGTCTATCTATCTCTCTCCCTATCTCTATCTCTTTCTTTCTAACTTCTCGTTCATTCTTTGATCTACAGCAAGCTTTCTATATACTTCTCCACCTACATTCTTCATCATTAATCACTCAAATCACCTTACTTAACCCTACAAAACCCACTTAAGATTTGAAAGTTGTTGGACTCCTTATTTTTCTTTCATCATGTGTTGTCAAGTGTGAGAACACGGACAAAACTGTAATCTTTTGTAACCTGGGTCACTAGAATGCTGAAACTTTAAACTCTTGTGCTTTAATCAGTAATTAATGAATAAATAAATGTATTTTCTGATAAAAAAAAAGTGTGAGAACATGGGCTCAATCTGAGAGTGGCTACTCTGTGCAAGAAAATGTCAAATATCAGATCACTAATAAATGCTCGGGCCTCTTTTCATATCAGATTTCTGGGGTTTCTAGTTTCAGACAATTTTATAAGTTTGATCTGAAGTTCATATTATCTTCTCTTCCTTGTAGCTTATTTTCAGATCTTCTTTGATAATCCATGCTTCTTTCCACTTCATTATGCACTCATTGCAGCCTCTTTTTTTATTTTTTCTTTTTCTTATCCACATCAAATTTAACTAACTGTTTCATAACTAAAAGACAACATGATTAATTGGTTATTTAACTCTCAGGATGACAGGGACAATTTCCTCAGCTTAGCATTGGAGGGATATAAGCGTTGTTTGGTCACAGGAGACAAGTATGATGTTCGAGTGGTAGGTTCTAATCATCTATGTCATCCATTCAATAATAGGTATCATGCAATAAGATTTATGAAATCAAAGTTGTTTGGAAATCTGGAAATAGGTTAAACAAGCACCTAATTCAATTTTCAATTCAGAAGTATAATGCTGATATTTTAGTTGATTTCTTCTGTCACTGTATTTAATTGAACTATATTACCATCAAGTGTGTGCATGACAACATGATTTCTCTGTTCAGGTGTTTCGATTGATTTCCTTGTGGTTTGGTCTCTCCTCGAGACAAAATGTTATAAACAGCATGCTTAGTGCAGTAAAAGAGGTACACAATGAGACAACTACACTGTTTATCTATTTGTATCCTAGATCACTGAATCCCATTTTTATAGGCAAATGTTGGTTGTATCACTGAAATTCTCAGTTTCTTTATGTTGATCATATTTTGTTGCATATATATTTTAGGTTCAGTCATACAAGTTCATACCACTGGTGTATCAAATTGCTTCAAGAATGGGTGGCTCAAAGGATGGACAAGGACCACATAGTTTCCAGGTATAACAATGTTTAGTTGGAGATGGTGTTTCTTATAAAAGAAGAAAAGTGGCATTTTTCTGATCAAGATATATTTCCTGAATTATGCAGTTTGCCTTGGTCTCTCTTGTGAAGAAAATGGCAATTGACCACCCTTACCATACAATATTTCAGGTATATAGCCTTCTGATCTCTCATGCAATATGACCAAAGGGATGTTCAGAAACACTCTTGTTTAATCGTGCATTGAGAAATAGAATAAAAAACATTATTTTACACAAAAATTATGATCACAGAGCATCTATACTCTTCTATCATCACCCATCAATATTTGGTTGTATATAAATGTATGTGTGCCTCTTTCCATGTTTGCTGGTTTCATAATGTACTAATTAATGATATACCATCTTTGCATTAGCTTCTGGCTTTAGCAAATGGAGACCGTGTCAAGGACAAACAACGTAGCAGAAACTCATTTGTAGTTGATATGGATAAGAAACTGGCAGCAGAAAATCTTATGAATGAATTATCTTCACATCATGGAACTATAGTAAAACAGGTAATTTCCTTCATTGTTATGAACACTGTGGCCTTACACTGAGGGGGTCCCATCCCCCCTGGAACTCAGTTCATTATCTTCCAAATCCATCAATCTTCATTTGGAGAAAAAGGGAACAAAAACATAGAACAATTCTATTATATTGGTTGATCAATCCCATCTTTAAATGCACTGGATCTTGTGCATCCTGTGGGGCCCAGTATTTGAAGCAGAAATTGACAATATACTGGACACTACACAATGCACCATATCCAGGGCATTCAAGGCAGTTTTAACCAACCCATATGGCCGGCATTCCTCAAAACCATATACAAAGGTATATGCCATACAGCCTGGTTGAACTAGTAGGGTAGAAAATAAAATATTCATTTTCATTGCAAAAGCACTGTCTACCTAGTTATTCTTATTCATTTCACTGCATATAAGTACTTTAATCTCTCCTTGAGAATTTGGTACTTATAAACACACCATTACTTTAGGTTCTACTCTGAGCCCCATATGAAAATTATGCAAAATGAAAAACTAAAACACATGAACTCAAACACTGATCTGCAGTTTGATTCTGTTATTCCACTTAACTGATTGTCTGCAAGCTCTAGGGATTGGTTTATAATGATGGACAGGTCATAAAGATGAAATTTCAGGAGGATCTGACAATTGGAACTGAGGATACGGTTCCATCCCGTAGAGTGTTACTAATATGTTCAATTTGCTTTATAGATGAAACAAATGGTGGAGGTTTACATCAAACTTGCGGAGCTAGAAACAAAAAGAGAGGTAAGTGCAATAGTAAGTGCTTATGTCTGAATTTAGGAAATTGTTCTCTCATTATTTGCGATCTCTATTCAGAATACTAGAATCTCAAATCATAGCCTAGACAACAAGGTAACATTGAGTTTTAAGCAATCTATAATCTATCATTGCCATTTTACAGGATACAAACAAAAAGATACAGCTACCAAGAGACATTCGTAGTCTTCGCCAGCTTGATCTTGTAAGTGTAATTTGATAACTAATAACTTAATATCAATTACAATGGCAGTGGCATGTTAAAACCTGGAAATATAGAATGTGATATACCACCTATGTCATTGTAGATGGTAAGGAAGGGGACAGAGATCTTAAGTTGTCAAAATATCAAAGGTTGGAAGCCCAACTAGGAAATCTGTAATGCATTTTAATAGTTCATAATATCTACTCCTTGTGTACCCTTTTCTTCTCTTATTTATGATGAATATAGTAAATGCCACTGATCAGAAAGGGAATAAAACTTGAAAACCTAGTTACTTATCTTCTGATATCTCTTCCTGGTAGTTGTTATTTGGTCCATTTTAGTTAAATAGCTTTTACCTTGGCATTTGATGTTTTGTGGGATATGCACAGGTAGTCAGATCGAACCATATTCCATGGATATTAGATTCTTATAACTAAACCCTGAAACTTTTGTATTTGTCTATTCTTCAGGTACCTGTTGTGACAGCTACTGTTCCAGTGGACCGTAGTTGTCAGTATCAAAAAGGATCTTTCCCACATTTCATGGGTTTAGCAGATTCAATCATGTATGCAAAACCAATATTACAAACTCCAGGGTTTTTCTCCTTTCTTTTTGTTTTCTGTTTTCTACTGTTAAAATTTTGACAACTAAGTTTCTACTCATTCTTTCTGGAATATGCAGGGTAATGAATGGTATAAATGCTCCAAAAGTGCTTGAGTGCATAGGTTCAGATGGTCGGAAATATCGTCAACTTGCAAAATCTGGAAATGATGACCTAAGACAGGATGCTGTATGAATTTTAAACTACAATATTTTCTGGTTATTTGTTTGTTATTTTTCATGGCTTGTCCAAATACCTATTCTCTTGATTTTTAACTGAATTATATGTATAGATGCTTCCTGGGCCCAATTTTCTTATATTGATTGCAATAGACAGAAAATCTGATAAATGATATTATTGCAGGTGATGGAACAATTCTTTGGTTTGGTAAACACTTTTTTGCAGAATCATCGTGATACATGGAGAAGAAAACTAGGGATACGAACATATAAGGTATTTACTACATCAATATATTCAAGACATCATTTCACTCTTCAGTGGAAAATAAAGCTCTGGATATTGTAAAATATCATAAATTCATAATGTGATTCCATGTCCAAATAGTCAAGGTGCATACCTGATGTAGTTAGAGATTGTTTGCTGAGTAATTTGCATTTGGAAAACAAGATAAGATAGTGTCACTGTAACTTGGCTAGTGATGATGCCTTCTTCCCAGTTCCCACCAGTCAGAGTTTACATCATGGCATCTCCAAGACTAAACTAGTGTGTTTTTCCCTGCATAGTTTCCAAGGCGCCAAGGTGAGGCTAGGCGACAGGGGGGCGCCTAGTCGCCTAGTTGCCTAGGGTAGTTCCCTAGGTTCCATAATCATATTTCCTTAATAAATATCCATAATTTTCATAAGAAAAGTATAGAAAATCAACATATTCCAACATATTCATGAGAAGAAAAAGAAGAAAGAAAAGAAAATTCGAAAAATATAGGTGCTGAACCCCTATTTCTGTTATAGGAAAAGAAGAAAAGAAAAGGTGGAAGAAGAAGAAGAAGAAGAAGAAATTAGTATATAAAAACACAAAATTAGTAATGAAAATTTGTTGATTGGACAACATTTTTTGTTCTTTCTTATTGGTTCAGGTTTTGAAGTCTTTGAGGGTTCAATACAGCATTTAGCAATGTTTGTGTTGATTAAACCCTAACAAATAACAAAATAACAAAAAGAAATTAGTATATAAACACACAAAACGAATATTTTAGTTTAAAATGTCTATTTTATAATTATAACCTCAAAAAATTAAGATAATAAAAGTTTGTTATAACACTATAGAAAACTGCTTGGCGATTAGGCGCGGTGAGACTACAAGGGCGCCTTGTCGCCTAGGCATCACCTTGACAACTATGTTTCCCTGATATGTGTTATGTCTCTTTTCTTATTGCTCTATATGTAGTTTCCATTTATTCAAATAGAACCTATTTGAAACCTACCGTGAGCATGATATACAATGTATGCATTAGGAATAGAATCCAATGGTACATATGAAGTATAAAAATTAGTATGAAATCTTATACAACATAAATGAATGATTAGTTGCCCTTGTAATTTTGTGTCTATATTTTAGTGCAAATGCTTCCTGACAACCTGTATTTTGTTTGTTGGTTCTTATCATCCTTGTCTTTATTAGTATTGCTTCTCTTAACGAAACAGGTTGTTCCCTTTACGCCAAGTGCTGGTGTACTTGAATGGGTTGATGGCACAATTCCACTTGGTGAATATCTTTTAGGAAGGTTAGTTAAATCAAACTGAATAAAACCCCATAACATGAGGTTTTCTGAATACCATATTTATTTGTCTTAATCTCTTTCAGCTTGAGAAATGGAGGAGCCCATGGACGTTATGGAGTAGGAGACTGGTCATTTATGCGCTGCCGAGAATACATGGCAAATGTATGTGTCATGTATTTTTTCTTTTATTGTACCATTCCATAAAATATATGCTTGAAGGGATAAAAATAAATAAATCCTATAAAACATATGCTTGAAGAAGAAGAAGAAGAAGATGAAGAGACAAGTTTGCCCCTCATTAGGAGGCAGCAAAACAAATTTAAAGATACAATATAGGCCCAGACCCATTGAACCCAAAGAGAAAATAAAACACAACATAAATAGTAAAGGCCCAAGCCCACGACATTATGTCTCACAACCATGGTTTAAAATGTTGGGAAATGTTGGGAAATGTCAGAAATGTTGCCCAACATATGTCAGTATTGAGGCCCAGCGACAAACTTTCAGGTAATTAAGAAAAATACAAAATGCCATTCAACATTTCCGATATATTGGCCAAATGTCGACCAAGTCGGTCCAAACACAAATTACATTATTTCCTAATATTTCGAACATATGGGAATCTTATTTAACGTCAAAAACGAAGAAAGGAAGAGAGATTTGAAAAGAAACAAAATCAAAACATGTGTAGCATGAAGATGCAAGCTTAAAGAAGGGAAAAAGGAAGAAGGGTTTCATATTTCCACTCCAGCTTGAACATCTAAATCGACAAGATTAGGGTTCAAATAAATTAGCTTTACCATCAGTGGAGCACTGAAAACCCTCTTTGGAGCAAGAATCAAGAAGCCAGTCCTCTGAAACTTAAGGCTTCAACCTCTCATCTTAGTTCAGGCCAATGTTTTAAAACACAGAGGCATGATGTGAGGTGTTCCACTACCTAGAGGTGTGAGGCGTAGTTCAGAACGCAAAAGGCGTAAGCCTCCTTAAGAGGAGGGGGGTTAGGAGGGAGGAAGGGGAGGAGGATGAAGAGGAAGGGGGGATCTTATTTTTTCTTTGTTTTTAATAAAAATCTTTTATATTAAGAAGAATAAAGATGCATAGCATTAGTTGAAAGGGGGGGGGGAGGTCTTCCCTTCCCTTTCCTTTTCTTTTCTTTCCTTTTCTCTTTTTTTTTCTTTCCCTTCCCTTTCTTTCCTTTTTTTCTTTTTTCTTTTTTTTTTCTATCTTTTTATATAAGATGTGCATGAGGCACATGAGGTGTACGCCTCTAGCATACCTCATGAAAAAAGCATACGAGGCATACGCTTCTTGCACCTGAGGCATATGCCTCAGGGCATTTTGGGAGTGCCTCGCTTGGAGGCACAGTACGCCTCCCACACCTTTTAAAGCACAGGTTCAGGCATGCAGGAAGCACAAACCCTCTTCTAGAATTACCATATGAAAAATAAGAGAAAAAAAAGGATGAAATAGGAGTAGAAGCATCCCCTTCATTCAATAGATATTGTGATCTTGCACTTGCTCTTGCTCCAGGAGTAGGACTCTAAAGTGAGCATTCAGTTTTCAAATGTTCAAATAAAATGAATAGTAGCATGTCTTAAACCTTACGGCATGCAAAATAAGAGTTATCATAGACCATCACAGCATAAAACACTTAAAAAGGAATCTTTATTATTAGAATATGTTATAATACACAAGGATCTACAGTAATATTTTAGACCTTCTTTAAAAGTGCCAATTAAACATTAATATATAACATATTATTATATTATATTATATTAATATACTATAGTATATATTAAAAATATTAATACATAATATATTAATATGTTACTTATATAAGTCATTAATAATTTAAAATAAAATATTCATAAAAAGGAATTAGAAAACAAAAAAAAGGAATAAACCAATTACTTATAAGAATATAAAGATATGCATGCATATAAAAATTTCTTCATAATAATAAAATATTAATATAAATTAGTATATAGTCACTACTTACTAATAATATACAAGTTAATAAAAGTTAATATGCATAGTAAAATAATATATATATAGTCACTAGAAAGGTGTATTAATGCTTCTTTTATCATTTCACAAATAATCTTTGCAGATTTCCACATATTTTACAATATTTCCATCTGACATATGTCCTATATTTGGGTAACCAACATTTCCATCGACATCAACATTTTAAACCTTTTTCACAACATGCCCAGCTTGCACAATAATTCACTAAATCTGGCTTTGGGTAGACCTTTGGTGAAAATATCAACTATCTATTTTGCAAAAGGCATATAAGGTACACAAATCTCCCCAGAAACAATCCTTTCTCTTACAACGTGTCTATCAATTTCAACGTGTGTAGTCCTATGATGTTGAATTGGATTATTGGCGATGTTGATGGGTGCTTGGTTTTCACAGTAGAGTCTCAAAGGACTAGTGACCACAATTCCCAACTCCTTTAGAATATCTAAAGCCAAAGAAGCTCAGCCGCACCATGGGCCATTGCTCTATACTCTACCTTAGCACTGGACCTAGCAATCACAACCTGTTTTTTACTCCTCCAAGTCACTAGGTTAGACTTACAAATACAATACCCAATAGTGGACCTCCCATTGTCTAGTAGATCTAGCCCAGTGAACATCAATATATTGCTTCTAAATCAAGCTTATCATTTTTCTTAAACAACAACTCCTTTCCTAGGCATGTCTTTAGATACCTTAGTATTCTCTTAACTGCCTTCATGTGGGAAATACGTGGAACATGCATAAATTGGTTGACCACATGGACTGTGTATGCAATGTCAAGCCTTGTAAGAGATAAATAGAGTAGCTTACCCACAAGTCTTTGATATCCTTATTTGTTTGGGTATAGATCCTCACCGCCTTCTTGCAAACCATTGTTTTACTCTATAGGTGTAACAACATGTTTACTTTTTCCTAGTCTCCTTCGGTAAGTCCAAGGCATATTTTCTCTGGCAAATGAAAATTCCTTCACTGGATACTTTGTTGATATCTTGTAGTCTTCATTGCGTTGCATAGCCTCTCAAACCAGGCTCTAGGGGATTCTTTAGTTTACATACTTTCATGAAGGGATGAAAAAAAAAAAGAAAAAAATGTGAAACGAGCAAGCTCATGCAGCTTTAGGTGCTTTGATACCATAAAGATGTTAGATCTACATTAAAAAGAACTGGCAATCACCTCTTACTAGCCCTAAACCGATTTATATAGAGATTAAAATTAAAGCAAATGAAGTGACAAGTTTGCCCCTCATTAGAAGGAAGCAAARCAAATTTAAAGATACAATATAGGCCCAGGCCCATTTAACCCAAAGAGAAAATAAAACACAACATAAACAGTAAAGGCCCAAGCCTACAACATTATGTCCCCCAACAAATCCATTCTTAGAGTAGAATTTTTGTGCTAAGGAATTTATGCTGTCCTCAAGCCACCAATGCTCCTCATTGGGCTTGGTCCATAGAGAAATAATCTAGTAAGTAATATGAACTTCCCCAAGTCTTCAATCTCAAGCTCAGTAGCCAAAAACTTCTTCAGCAGAGGTCACCTTACTAGCCAACTCACAGACGGAGCTTTCCAAAGTCTTTGTTGTCTGCAGGTTAAAAGATTAAAGAGTTTTTGCAGATAGTTTGGCAGACCATTAGGCCTTCTCATATAAACATCTAAGATTCCAGCTGGGCTAAAGAAGCTTTGAAAAAACCCTGGTATCCAGCTACTGAGCATATATATAATAGATTACCAGGTTGGAATTGTCGTTTTCCTAATGATTTTGTAGGGTGTAGACCCACTAAGTGCGCTTTGATTGATATCCTAATGCGAACTTCCATGACTAAAACAGTAAAACACCCAAACATATGTTTACCTGTACACAAGAAACATCAACAAAACTATGTAATAGCAAGGGTGGCAATTTAAAATTTCAGTTATTCAAATGCAAATGCATTTGTATTCAAGGCTCAAGGGGGTGCTGGAAAATAGGTTTCATGAATAAGAAACTTCTCAGCAAATGACCATGGAGGATCTAGAGGAAGAGTTGGCTTTGTTGATGAGGGTGATGGCTGCCACATTCAGCAACCCTCATAGGTAGGCTTCCAAGGCTATCAGTTTCTCTTATGGTATCATTTTCTTTCTCTTTAAAAGGTATTGTTAAGGGGGATATGATGATTTTTTGCATAACCAGCTTCAAGGTGTGATTGGGGAAGAATCACTTTTGAGAAAACTGGAGTGGGATGGGTGTGCTTGGCAGGCCTATATGCCAATGATATGCAGGTATCCGTGTATATAGTCTTAGAATCCAGGAGTTGTTCACACAACGTCTGTAAGGAATGATGTGGATATTAAACATATGTTGATAGAAGAATTTCCTCAGTGAAGCAATTTATTGTTTACATTGCCAAACAGTTTATATTGAAAAAGAAGGGTCATTCAATACAATTTTCATTGGTATTATTGCTTGTTCTCAACTTGCTTCAGTGCATTGTACTTTGTGTATGTAATTAAATGGACTGATGACTGCCCTGTAGTGCACTGATCAGCTTGTAGGCAGTTCTAGACATATCGGGTTCATCATCTGTCTTTGTTTCTCATTCTCATTTCCAGCATAATCTTATAAGTTTCTTTTCTTAGGAAATTTATAATTTATTACTCAAATCTAGGAGTCCTTTAAAAATTACAAATGTTCCTATAATCCTGTATTGAATCATAGTTATTTGAGGAATGTTTGTACTAATGTGCATATATTTTGTATGAATGGCATGTATGTTGAGTGGTTCATTTTTTAAATTTAACTGCAAGAATGTAAAGAAAAATGCATGGAAATAGGGGTGTTGCATTTTTTTAATTTGATCTTGTATTTAGGCAAAAGATAAGCATGAGGCCTTTCGGAAAGTTTGTGAAAACTTCAGGTCTGTCTTTCCCTCATCTACTTGTATTTTCACCAACTTCAGATTTTAGAATCCTTAGGGTTTAACTCTTGCCTTAAATTTTGTGCAGACCTGTCATGCATTACTTTTTCTTGGAGCGATTCTTACAACCTGCTGATTGGTTTGAGAAAAGGCTCACTTACACACGTAGTGTGGCAGCTAGTTCAATGGTAAGTTTGTCATATTGTTGTCCTGACACTTAGGCCCTCATTTTCTTTTTCTTTTGGAGGGTGGGGGTGTGGGGGTATGAGGTTATATGACTTGGGCTTACTCTGGTACTCCAGGATAGTTTCTTGTGCTTTCTAGCATTCATGGTTTCTCTTTTGAAAATAACCTCCATATTGTTCATAGATCAAAACAGAAATCCATCTAAGTATCTTTTCTTTTCCCTTTTTGTTTTAGTTTGTTTTGTCCATTAATGTATGTTCTTGTTTTATTCATTTTGAGTATTTGCAAATATAGGCATGCACCCCATAATTAGACTTTAGTTGTTCTCCTTCTTCCGTTAAGGATTTAGTTGTTCCCATGAACTTCTTGTTACTCTAGTAGTTTTGTGTTTTTTCCCAGTTGCCCAAAATGGGACATTCTAGAGATATATCTGGAGCATTAATCATTGACATCCTACAGCATGTTCCTTCATTGAAGATTTAGTTATTCCTTTGAGCTTTTCATCACCTCTGCAGTTTTTTTGTTTTTTCTTTTTCTGCTTCAGAGGTGTCCAAAGACAGGACATTTCTGTAGCATTGTCCTTTTTTGGTAGGCAAATAAGCTACACAATGGGGGTAGCCCTCCCCCAGACCCAGGTGAAGACCAGCCAGAGACCTTACCAACAAGCCAGCTGCCACCTTCAACTATGGTTCTGTGAGAACCTCTGAATACATAAAAAGAAAGGTGTTCATGTGTTAGCTCTCCACATTAATGCTCTACCTTCAAAGGTGGAACTAACCAGTTGTGAGTTCAACAATTTAAACCGAGGGCATTTACCTCCATATACAATTTTCAATTTATAATTTCCAAAATCTTTACATTTCCCTGCAAAACAATTTTTTTTGGAATTTAAAGTATCTGTTTTTCTTTTTGTATGTGTGAAGCTGCGTAATCAACTCTAGTTACATTTAAGTCACTAAAATGCAGTATGGGCATTGCAAAATAGTCATAATGCTGAAATGAATGATCTGAACTCAGGTAGGCTATATTGTTGGTCTGGGAGATCGTCATTCCATGAATATCCTCATTGATCAAGCCACTGCAGAAGTAGTTCACATCGATCTTGGTGTTGCCTTTGAGCAGGGCCTGATGCTGAAAACACCTGAACGGGTATGTCTGTGTTGACCATTCATTTGATCTTTTACCTGTCTGATCTTCCTAAGTTTGGCAAGGACTTTAGAGTTTTGCCTGGGGGCAGACAACTCTCCTTATTGTTCATGGGTTATGTTGACTACCTTTGGCAGGTTCCTTTTAGGCTCACAAGAGATATTATAGATGGCATGGGAATCACTGGAGTGGAGGGTGTTTTCAGAAGATGCTGTGAGGAAACTCTATCCGTTATGAGGACAAATAAGGAAGCACTTCTGACCATTGTCGAAGTATGATTAACCAGCATAATCTCCTTCCTAAAAATAAAGGCTAATTTTTTTCATTTCTTGGTAACTGGTAGGTGTTTTTCTGCAGGTTTTCATCCATGACCCTCTCTACAAATGGGCTCTATCCCCTCTGAAGGCTTTGCAGCGTCAAAAGGTATTTCAGTTTGAAGAAATTTACTTATTCTTAATTGTAAGAAGATTAGTTATGTCCATACAAGTAAACAAGATTTTGCACCTGTATATCATCATCATCACCACCACTACCACTTGGTCCCATTCCACATGCTCTGAAATGGCTGTTGTTACTTGTTACATAATGAGATGCACTGTTTTGAGCAAGAAACATTAGATCAGGATTCATGAGAAGATATGCCAAAGGTTTAATTGCAACTTGAAAAGTAATAGGATCCCCCTCCATCTAGACTTGTGGACTAGAAATGCCAAGCAATGCTCAATACTGGCAGAGTTATAAATGCAGTAACTATCTGTTGATAGAAGTTACTACAACCAAAACCTAAGGGCAGATTTTGAATTTTCTACAGACCTGGTTTTCTTTTAGAATTGGAAATATGAATATGGATCGATTTGCATGTTATTTTGTTGAGTATTTCTACCAATGCAATCCATGTCATTTCACTTTCACAGGAAACAGATGATGATATCGAATCAAGTTTGGAAGATTCACAAGATGTATATGAGGGGAACAAGGATGCAGCACGTGCATTGTTGCGTGTCAAACAAAAGCTAGATGGATACGAAGAAGGTGAAATGAGAAGCGTGCATGGCCAGGTAATTCTCCAGCCTATATCAGTTTTGGCAACATGGAGATACTTTTTTTTTCTTGACAGAACCTGCTTGTTTACTGAAAATGCAATGTAAGGACGTGGCTAAGTGGTTTAAGAGCATTTTGATCTACCAACAATGACACAAAAAGTGTGTGTCGGCATGGATTGCATATGCTGGAAAAACCTAAAATGCAAGATACATCTATACAGTTCATTTCCTCCTGATTATGCTTATGATTTATCTGTGCATTAAAGAAAAAGAAAACACCTAAAAAGTGATTATATACATGGAGATGTTAAAGTTTTGAATTATATATATATATATATATGATGAATTTTGTCTATTTAATGTAAAAATATGGCACAGATTATTTCAAAAAATGGATATTTTGTTACATGTTTTTTCTGGTTTCTTCTTTTTTTTTTGTCTTTTTGGTTGTTAATTCTGTCAAGTGTCAACCTCAACGTAGTTTTGCTGTATGATGAACTTAGAAACGCATGGTCCTTTCATTAGCTACAGGAAAAAGTGATCCAAAGAAGTTGATTCTGCAGGGTGATCAATAATTTGCTTTAAGGATTATCTTCCAGTTAGGGAATTTCCTTTCTGTTTTGCATGTTTCTATGACATTCAATTAATTTAATATTGTTGGTTTGCGTGCAGGTCCAACAACTTATACAAGATGCAATTGATCCGGAGCGTTTGTGTCAAATGTTCCCTGGATGGGGAGCTTGGTTGTGAAAAGAAATGTTTACTCGTTCTTAGCAGCTGTGGCACCTGAACACACTGTACAGGCGTATTTTTCTCTTTTGAGGTTTTCATTTTTCCTTTTCTTTTGTTTCATGAGTTGAGATTGTGTATTGGGTGTCATTTATGTATTCAATTGTAAATTCTTGCACAGTTGTACCATTTTTATGTGTCTAGCATCTATATGATACGAAGTAATGTCTTTTTTTTGGTAGAAAGATACTAAATAATGTCAATGCCCTATTTCTGTAATCATGTTTGAGGAAAAATAAAATTGAGAGAGAGAGAGAGGGCTGTTCAAGTTTTCATGCCAAATTTATCTCATTATTTTCAAGGAAAATAACATAAAAAGGCAGATGTTGAAAAATGTGCGTATAGAATAGCTATTACATTTTTTCTTATATATTCATTTAATGGTGTGGGAGATATCCGGCAACATCTAAGGCTGGGAAGAATATCAGGTTTGATGTTGTCAAAATCACCTCTAAGGCGTCAGTTTCCAAAATTGCATCTCCTCTGTGAGCCTTTCTGTTTTAATTTATGATTCTTTTGAGGGATACATCAAAGCTAGTTGTCTTAGACAATGGGACTCTCTTTCCCCTTTTGTTTCTTTTTTCTATGGAGAGTTTCTCTAGGCTTTTAATTAATGCAAGATGCAAGGTCTTATTATTCATGGTATTTCTGTTTGTAGGAGTGCCCATGGAGATTGTCACATGTTTTTTGCTATTAACATTTTATTATTTTGTAAAGCCTCCAGGTTTGAAGCTACTGATGACTAATGTTATAGACATTCTTGAGTTCTTCCAAAATGTTTCTAGACAAATGTTTAATTTTAATAAATCAGGCATTTTTTGCTGCAAGAATGTTCCTCATAGATGTGCCAAACTTCTTTAAGAGAGTTGGAAATGAATTGACTCAATAAGAATACTAAATGTCTGGGTGTTCGTCTTTTTTGGTGTAAAAATAAGGTTCATTATCTTGATTTTGTCTTTTAGAAATTCAATAATAAGTTAAAAAGCTAGAAAGCTAAATGTTTGTCCCAAGTTAGCAGATTAATATTGATTTAATTTGTCCTTCAATCTTTGCCTTGTTATTGTTTAGAATTATTAATGCTTTGTAAGATAAAATTCTAAAAGCCAAAGTATATGAATTCTGATGATTTTATTCTCAGGAAATTAAACCTTCAAACTCTTGTTTGGAGAGCCATTAGTAACTCTTTTTTTATGTCTTGTCAGGTCAGATTGAGTATCAAGTTGATATTAATTCTTTTTTGAACATTTGGACCTTTTCTTGGATTAGTAAAGGTGGAGGGTTTTACACCGAATGAGTAATCTCATTAATAGGGAGACAGGCTTCTGAAATAGAAACTTGATTGACTATCTTTCCTCAACATACCCACTGGTATTGCAACACTTGTTTTTAGATCTTCTAATAAGGATAAACCTCATATGGTATGTTTTGAATAAAGGCTCTTTTTTCTGTCAAAGAAGCCTACAAGCATATTTTTATTCAGAGGTGTTATCTTGCCTAATCTTATGATTAAAATTATCAGCATGATTTGGAATCTGGATATTCCTCCAAGATATAAAATATTTTGTGGAGAATTGTTGGAGACTCTTATCAAATAAAAAAGATGCTTTTTTAAAGATATCCTTGGAGATGCTTCGTGTGTTTTTGGTCATGATCAGATTATGAATCTGTTTTACAGTTATTTTGGTTTTTCCCTATAATAAAAGCATTTTTTGCTTATAAGTGGAGCTTAAGAATTTACGAATTCTCTAATAATTCTTATCTCAATATTTTTTTGTTTTGGAGAATTCTCAATTTTATTGATGGCTGCTTACAACCTTTTCCTGAAACAAGACAAATATGAGTTTCTGGTCTGGTTAGTTTTACCTGTGTTGCAGGCTCTATTAGCGCTTAGAAATCCTAATTCTCTTATTGTTTAGCATATAGAATTTGTGCAGGTTTAGTTAATGGCGTAGGTAGTTTTGAGAGTGAATATGGCAATTTCCACCCTAACTGCCCTGTTGTTTTTTTTTCTGCTTTTTTTTTTTGGAAAAGGGAACCCTTACGGGTAGGGTGACCTGCCCCATTGCCATCCCTAAGAGTGAAGCTAGTACTTTAGGCACAGACCTAAGAGCCATTCTTCATGGAGTAAACTTGCCATATCTGATATTGTTGATTCTACTGCTCTATAGCTCTTTTTGTTTTTGTTAAGTATGTTCATATTTATAGGGTTTGGAATTTAGTTGCGGACTTAGTTGCACAATAGGTAGCCATGTTAATAGGGAAGTTATTTGGTCTGTGACACCTCTTTGTTTAGTTAATGCACTTCTCTGATTGTGCTTCTGTTTAGTAAAATGATATTTTACGCATCAAAGAAAAAAAAACTATGCAATCCAACTTGATGGCGCAAGCTTTTGTTTCAGGGCCAAATTGGTCAGGTCTCATGGTCGTAGCGGAAACTTGGGATCAAATCCTGCCATGGACTACCCCCACCTTCAGAAGATATCAAAAAACAATTAAAAAAGGGCCAAATTGCAATAGATTTTAACTCCTGACATTTAGATGAGGTTTTCCTCGGGGATCAAATGAGAAAACCAAGCCCAACAACTCTTGGTGCGTAGATAAGCAGATCATCACTATATGTAATTGGGTCGGTTCAAGATTGGATGTAATCACATCCAAACCCGATTGCATTAGTAAAAACTTAAATTTGAATCTGATCTGAAATCTGAATAGATCGCATTAGAACTCAAACGGAATTGGCTTTATTTAGGGGTTCAAGTCGGGTGGGCAAGGCCAGGATTTAGCTCTACCCATTGGGCCTAAAACCCAAGCTCAACCCGAGCCCAAGGTCAAGACTGAGCCCAGGCTCAGTCTGCGTTTAGGCTACTTAAGGCTAGGCCCAAGCCCAGCCCAAAAAAAATAAAAAGCTTAAACTTTTGAGCCTAAGCCCAACCCATGTAAAATTGTGGGCTAGGTTGGACTGGGCTCGGGTTGAGCCCACCCAAGTTGCACTCTTAGTTTTATTATTTTTTAATTAAGAAAAATAACTAAAATATTTTAAAAGTTAAATTGCTTTTATGTTATAGAACAAAATTACAAACATAAAATATTTAATTTATTCATTACAAATTTTATATAATTGAATATAATATACATATTACATGAAATTTATTCAGACCCAAATCTTAATCAAATCGTTTAGGGATAGCATCAAGTCTGCATCCAATCCAAATTCCAATCATTAAACATATACAAGTCCAAAATATCAACACAATATGCTTGATATAGGGCATAGCATATCAGTATTTGAAGGCATGGACATGTGGCAAAGGTGGAATAGCCTTGTGCTAACAGCTGTCATGACCGCCACTAAAAGTTTTAGGCTACCAGCATGGGTCAATAAATTGATATTCAATATTCATTCAAACATTTTGATAGTGTTTATAGACTGTCTTGACATTTTGGACCATCAACATATATCTAATTAAACATATGGTCCAAACTTGTTATCTCTATCCATTATCCCAAAAAAATTGGGAAAAACAAAAAAATATAAAAATTATTTTTTATATGTAATAAAGGATTTTCATTATAGGAATGAGCTATATGGATCTATCAATGATTTATTCCTATGAATAATTTATGTCAAAAATGAATTTTTCTTAATTTTTAGGAAAACTAAAATTTAGAAAAATAATTTATTTTATATTTTCTTTTTTTTTAAGGTGATGGGGCTAATCCAAAAATTAGATGAATTAGAATTTTTTTGAAAAAATAATTTATTTTATATTTTCTAAATGATTCTCGTGCTGAGGAAGAAAAGATTGATCTATTAATGATCTATCAAACACATTAATCTAACAACAATTTAACATGCCTTGCAATGAACTTGCACTAGATTGGAAGCTCAAACATTGTTTGATGTATTATTAGTAAAGTTTTTGTATGATACTCCCATGCTCTAACTCTCAGTATTGTCAATATATTTTCATGTTATAAAGTGTGCATTTTTTGTGTACTTTGATCTTAAATTTAGTAATATTGATGTATTTACAAAATTTTTAGGAGTTTCTCTAATATATTCAAGTGTATCCATATCTTTATCCGATACACTTACAGTACAATATGCAATACCAATATTTTGAACCTTGATTAAAGATATGGGATTAGCCCTGCAGAGCATGGAGCGTGGGTAGAGATTCGATAGAACTGATGCTGCAGGGGGATGAGAGCTTGGCCCTGCAAGTTGAATTGTTTCAAGGGCTTGGTCTTCCTAATTGCAGGCACCACATGGAGCGTACTATGGATCCTTGGAGTAGATCTCACTTCCAACATCAATAAACCGGAGCTAATCAGAGTGAACATGTGCAGAGATGTTTGGCCTAGAGCCATCTAGCAGCATTGTCAGTGGTCTTGAAAGCAAGAGCAGGGAGGATTACATAGGGGACTCTGATTGTGAGCTCAATTCCTTTCCCTGAAAATGCCGAGAGAACACTAGGAGAAACAATGAAAAATCGGAACTTGGAGATCCCATTGGATTTAACAACATCAAATGGAGGGAGGTTATTTGCAACACGACCATGGCAGGCACCAGTCCTAGTAGCAGCTGTAAAAGCAAGATTAAGAAGTCGGACAAAGGAAAGGTTAAACTTAAACAAGCCTGGTGGAATTTTGAAAGGGATATAATTGATAGAAGCCTGTTGAACGTGAGAAGAATTTTTGTAAAAGAAAGAAAAGAAGACATTGCGTTCTTATAATGTTTGATACTCAGACTTGATAGAATTATGGAGCTTTGATTGGTTCTGTGAAGAAAAATAGGTAGTCATTGGAGGTGAAATTTTTACTCAAAAATATTTTTTCGTCTTTCAAGTTGAGATTTTTTTCCCTTTCGTTTAGCTGTTGCAAGTGTTCAGCGTCACCCTGCATCACACGATCATTTTTCTAACACCCCCACAAATGATGGTTCTCAGGAGTTCGAGCTGGACGGTCACCGGAAAGCATGGATCTCATCCCACTCTCAGTACATGTTCAGATAGCTTTAGACGGTAGGATCAGGGACAGGGATCACCGGAAAACTGAATTGATTGTAACACTAACAATCTGGTCATATCACACTGGTTTTACTTTACAAACTAGAATCCAGGGTCATGCGCGCCGTGCATGTACAGTATTTTATTCTTTTGTGTTTACCTTTACACCCCTTAATGCGCGAGACGAATATTTGCACCTAACTTTGCAGCCCTACTGGTCTATCAAATGGCTGCTGCTCGTTTTTGCTTTCGGACCCACTTCCGTTACTTTTAAGATAGTAAAGCTAAATAAACAGGACACTCCTTTAACTTTAGGCTCAGTTTGGAAGGAGTAAAAATACAAATTTGTAGAGTGTAAAATCTTGTATTTTRTATTACTTTGCACGTGATAATATTTTTAAGACAAAACTGTTTATAATTTATGGGCAGTTTTTTAATGGTTATAACTTATAAGTGGGTAGTTTCTGAATAGTTATGAGTGGGCAGTTTTGAAGTGAGAGTAAAAGACATATATGCTCTCTTTATGCCCACTCTATGAGTAGACAAGAGGGGTAGAAAACGTCCAAGAAAATTCTAGAAAAAAGGGGAATTCGCTCTTTTATAGGTAACTAACGAAGAGATCTTGGCGGAATTGTCACATCGGAAATTGAGCACAATTTTGCAAARAAATACCCCACTTGTTTCTCGAGAAGAGATGGGAAACATGCTCAATATCATTTGATTKAATAGTYGACTCAGCTMCTTGTTGTTTGAAGAAACCCTCCACTTCAATTGGTCTTTTATTACGAAAAGCAAACATAAGATAACAAATCCAGTGTTTCACTAAGATTTCAAATAGCTGTCCCGAATTCAAGTTGATTATGTTTCGCTTCTTCCTTGGAGAAAGACGATCAAACAATTCCCAATCATGGTCCTTGCGGATCGGATCATCCGTATAGGATATAGTAAACATGTATGTGCATTTGCACGTGGCAGTTTCTGAACGGTTATTAGTGAGCAGTTTTTGAACAGTTATGAATGGGCAGTTTCTGAAAGTGAGAGTAAAGGACATATATGCCCTCTTTGTGCCCACTATATGTTAGATAAATGGGGTAGAAAATGTCCAATGAAAATTCCAGAAAAAAAAGGACATTCGTTTTTTTAAGGTAGTATAGATAAACGTGTACGTGCATTTGCACATAGTAATATCTCTAAAACAAAACTATTTATAATTCATGGACAGTTTTTGAATGGTTATAACTTACAAGTGGATAGTTTCTGAACAATTATGAGTGGACAGTTTTTGAAATGAGAGTAAAAGACATATATGTTCTCTTTATGCCCATTGTGTGCTTAGACAAGAAAGGTAGAAAACACCCAAAAATATTCCAGAAAAAAGGAAAATTCTCTTTTATAGGTAGTATAGATTTTATATGTATTTGTACTTTTCCAAGCTAAGCCTTAGCCACATTCTCTTCACCCCTGGCCTTGAATTAAAACACTTATTAGGTCCTCGGCATAACAGGAAAACGTTCAACMACTCAGAACATACGGCCATGATATATGGACAAGCTCTATGAAAGCGTGAAAAGATAGGACCAGCTCACAAGGTTCTCAACCTTTATGTGTCAATAGAAATGGCCCCTTTAATTCGGTATCCATGGGGTCACAGCCCAGCATTTCCAGGTTTCTTTCTAACTAATTGTTTTCTGAAACAACTATTCTCTCTATTTTTAGTGGTTCTCATCAAAGTAAAGGAATAAAAGATAAAACTCCACCACCAACTTATTCTGTTTGATAATGCTTCATTTCTAATATCCAACCGAACCCAAGGCCTTATGAGTTATGACAAGTTAGCAGAGCCCTTCTATAAGAACAACGACAAAGAATAAAACGTCGTTTCTGGCATACCCCTATCAAATATCAAAATCCCTCTTATGTCTAATCCCTCCTCGAGAAGTATGCCACACACAAGACAGGTGAACTGAACCCCCCAAGCAGATTGTATTTTCTCTTAGAAACTCGGTTGAAGCTTTTTAATTTGCAGGCGTCAACATATACACAGAGTCTTTATACGTGATCAGCATTAGAACCGTTAATCTGCACCTGTCCATGGGCAATTCAGTTCAAATTTCAAAAGTAGAGAAAAGAGCATATCAAAACCGAATGCATAACATCAACGACTGACAAGATAACAGGTGTTGCTTCACAAGTATTCGGGGTCATTATCCTATGATCAATGCAATTGAATGATTGTATCCAGAAGAATAAAGTAGAGTAGCAGACCACCGATCTTGAGTCGAACCCAGATCAAGTGAATGCAATGCCTGCCAAGGACAGCTTCAATTTCACACTATTGTGGATTGTGGTGTGGAAGACTTGCATACAGGTTCATACCTTACCCTCTTATCAAAGGTTAGCCCCATTCAAGTAACGCTCTACACAGGCTCCAAAGCTTCCTTTCTCTGATTTCTAAGCAATAATGGTACACCTTGTTCAACAATAAAGGGGGAAGAGAAGGAGATTCTTTACCTTTTGTCTTTATCAAAAGAGAGCACCCCTCGCTTTTGAATTCAAAACTCGGTGGATATCCATTTATTTATGAGCCCTCCCCTCCTTGTCAATGTTCTTGTTTCTTCCAATACCTAACCTTGTATTGCCTTTATCCACACTCAAAGAACTAGAGAACCCATACTAAACCAATAAAAGCCTCTACTTCTCCCCTGAAGCAAAAAAACAAGCTGAAAATGTCACTTTCTCAGCCTGCAGTGGTTTACCCGACTACCGTCTCACCACACCCTTCTTCTCATTCCAAGGGCTCTTTTGGGACAGTTTTCATTGTCTTGGCTGTGATAATAGTTATCTCAGCCCTTGCTTGCTTCCTTGGCCGTCTCTGCAACAGCCGTTCCCGCTCCTCTCACCCAAAACCCAGAAGAGACCACGAGTTCCAACCCAGGGAGCGAGACCTGGAATATGGATTCAAGAAGGGTATGCCTATGCCTACAACAAAGCCAGCTCGCAATGGAGAACAGTCTGGCAATGGAGAATTCAGAGAATTTAGACCTGCAGAAGGTGTTGGAAACAAAGGAGAAACCAAACCTACTGAGAATGGAGATGCTAAAGCAAGCACATCATAAGAGAGTAACAACAGGTTTCTTCACATACCACACATCTTATGTAGTTTTTCCAGCAAATGCTTTCTGCTATCTTTTTTTCTGGTTTATGACAATCTGATTATGTTTGTTGTTTCACTTGTAATATGTCTTATATAGTGAAAAATAAAAAAAATTAAAAAAAAAAATTGAAGTGCACACACTCTCTGGAAGCTGGTCAATCATCAACAGCATCCTCTGGTGCCTCGTCTGCTTTGCGTTTGATTGTTACAACAGGGCATTCTGCATGCTTTGCACAAAACTCGCTTACAGTTCCAACAAACACCCTGCAAGAAGAATCACCACGGTAGTTTCAGTTGCTGAATCATATGACAGAGTAATCATGAATTTGTAAATTTTAATTTCTTTTCCAAGTTTAAAGTCCTAAAATAAGAACTTCTAGTAACAAGCAACGCTATTATGCCAGTATATACAAGAAGACAAACTATTTCTTTTCCCTTTTCAATCATGCCAAGATTTTTCATCTAGAGATTTTCAACTGTATACGTTATAAAAAGATGCTACGAGTGTGGAACAGAATGAGTAGACGTAATAAATGCCTTTAACTCAGGTGCTAGGCTTACTTTTGGAAAGGTCCAAGCCCACGACTTCCCACAACTAACATATCTGGGCCAACTCGTCTCACCTCATGGCATATTACTTCCTTGGGATCACCTTTCTTTATCCATGCTTGACAAGGGACCTATAAACAAAAAACAGACAGCTTAATATACCTGCCAATTCGTTAATTCAATTCTATACATACAGATACTTGTACATCTTATTGTACAAATGTTTTTTGAACACGGGTTTTGATATGTATGAACGAATTATACTTTACCTTTTTTACAAAAAAAAAAAATGTATATCTAGAAGGGGAAGAAAAGAGGAGATGAAAAATCAGCATGTGTGCCCTAAAAGGAAATTCTTACATACCCCAATTTCATGGCATTTCTTAACAAAGTACTCCAGCAAGTGAAGCCCTCTGGTCTTGTCCCTGTGTTTCATTGCTTGAAAATCCTCAGGTGATGCATAAATACTATCCATGTCATCAAACCCTAGCATGGATTTAACAAATGCTATTAGCTAGCAGTACTCACACAGCAATAATTCCTAGAGGCACAAGGTGGGATTACAAACTGAAAAGCCATATCGGACTCAGGTTGAGTGACAAAGTTGATTATTCTCAAAAACTAACAAAGCAGAAGTTACAATGGATCATGAGTGTCAAGTATTGAATTTTTTATTCAAGATAGGTTTTGACCTCTTCTGAAATGCCAAACTTTTCAAATGATTAAAATTACCCAATCAAGCCATTTGGCATAGAGAAATTGGGTCCAATAAATGCTGAATTTATCTTCCATTGAAGCTTGTGCAAAGGGCTCTAAAACAGGGCAACCATTTTTAAGATGACCCAAAAATCTACAAGGTAAATTAAATACTATGTGGTACTAGACCTAAGAGGATTTATTGTTTGAGAAAAAACTTAGAAAAGAATGCCATTTTTTCCAACTGGCATTGTCGATGAAATTCAGAAAGGCCATTATCAATTAGAATTCAGTGTAAAAAGGAGGGGGACAGAAAGAGAGGATATTATAAACTAGAAAAAAAGTGAATTATGTCAATCCTACTATGTACATAAAGGCAGAGAACGATTCCAAAAAATAAACACATCGTTGCAATGAGAGAAATGTTAACAGTATATGGACCTTGTCTGTCATGGAGATGTCAACTCACAAGTTAACAGAAATGTTAAAGTGTGCTGCATCTTATAATAAAACCGAATTAAAGAACACACCCAAATTCCCTTCGGATCTTTCTTGCAGATCAATAAATTCCTTGAGAATTTATTTCAGTTCACCGGGAAAAAGAAAAACAAATCCAAACAATTTACCAACTTCAGAGTCACATTTATAAAGTGAGAGAAACTTGTGCAAGAACTAAGGAGATTTTAAATATCACTTCAAATAGCTGCAGATGTTTCAGAATCATTTGGAACATACAATCGACTTCCCAATTGCCTTTTTGCTTCACTTCACCCTTTGGCTTTTCTCTTAGGTAACCACAAGAGGTAGTCTGAGGGTGGGACTTGGCGCAATAGTTGGGTTGCTCTATTACCACCTGGGTGACCAGTGTTCAAATCATGGAAACAGCCTGTCTGTGTACCTGCAAGGGTAAGGCTGTGTACACACCTGTCTCTCCCCAGACCCCGCATTGGCAGAAGACATGCACTGGGCTGCCCTTTTTAACCACCACAAAAGGTATTCTACCTAATTTCCCCATGGGTCGAACATACAATATCTAGATCCCCCAATGAATATACCACCTAAATATTTTGAATCTACACTCAGTATGTTGATAGTCCCACTTCACCAGGACACTGAAAAACAATGATATTGGCCTAAAAAGCAAGAATTAGCCGGTCTCCCCAATGGATAGTTGCTGCATTCAGCATGTTACATACTGAAATCCTATTTGTACAGGTATGTTCTGCTAGACTTGACCCATGCACCGTCAATTACATTCAAATATGTAGATATATAAATGGACAATTAGATACACACAACTTATGACAGCACGTATCAGAAGAAAGACTATTCGGCTTATTAATAACTCTCGATAAAGCACGATCAATAACATGGGAAAAACAACAAAAGCACAGCAAAGCTGGTTAATTTCAATGTGGTATTGAAAGAGTATTCGAAGAATCTAGTCTCAAATTCTCGGTCCGCTTTATTCCCCTAGAGATGAATCTTAATTATGCAAGCAGATGGCGATAAAATAGGTAGGATGATCTTAATTATGGTTGACCAGGACCGTTTACGACATAATTCGCATTCGACGGTGCCACAGAAACGACATAGAAATAAAATACAAGAGCACAAAAAAAGAAAATATATATTTCAGAATTCAAAAACGTTTCATAGCTAGGGTTCCGAAAGAAGCATAAAGAACAATTCGAACTCCTCGCAGTGTCAAGAACATGAATAGAATAAACTGATAGCAAAGGGAATTGGTAAGTAAATCAGATCGAAAGCAAAAGATGTAGAGAGATAGAGTGGGAAGGCACCGTCTTCGTCGGGGACTTGAACATGAAGGAATAGGAGCTTGAAGCCGGAGATATTGGAGCGGACAATCTTCTGAAGAGTCCACTCGAATGCACCGCGGCTGCTAATGGATGCGTGCGGGTAACCTTTGATGGAAGACTCGTTCACTGCCAACATTATCCGAGTCGGCTCCGATTCCACCCCTCTTTCCATTGCTATCCGTCTTCTGTCTTCGTTATCAGTTATCTCGCTGACGCTGTCTCCCTGAAGCCTGAAACCTCCCCTTTCCCTCCCCTACCCCGTAATGAAGCTTGCTACTAACATGCACCGAAGAACGGTGATCCAATGAACGCGCTCTCAAAAGTAAAATGAAAATTTCGGTTCCCAATTTTTTGTTTGTTTTTGTTTTTATGGAAGTGATTACCGATTCAGGCACAACCGACTTATAGGAGTCCACGTTGTCTAGTGAGCACAGTCAGCAGCCAGTCAGCACGTTGTCTAGGGATCTGCATCGCCCTAATCATTTCTTTTTTTATTAATTGCGTGAATTGCCTAGTCAAGTAAGATAAACTCGCGCAACTTTTCGGCCCCAATATCAATAAAAACAATATTTTTAATAAAATTTTAAAAATATGTTAACTTTTCAAAAATAATATTAAATAAGGGCAAAAATGTTGTTTATATTCTTCTTCTTGGAGATCATTTTTAGTGTCTCCGCCTCTGCCCAACACCACCACCTCCGCCTCCACCTCCGCCTCAGTAGCGCTAGCCTACCATCCACCAGCGTTGTCGTCGCTGCCTCTGCCCCCGCCCACATCTTTGCCTCCACCTTTGCCCAATACTACCACTTCCGCCCACCTCCGAAGGCGGTGGCGGGCGGCAACGCTAATAAATGATCTGCAAGAGGAAGAAGATGAATAGTATTTTTGCCCTTATTTGATATTATTTTCAAAAGGTTAAACTATTTTTTAAATTTTATCAAAAATATTACTTTTATTGATATTATGGTCCAAAAGCTACCCTTATCTGCTATAATCCCTTTTTTTTCACTAATGATTTAACATTTGAATTGAGGACAATGATTTAACACTGTTACAACAATGACCCTCCCATGTCAGGACGAGATCTACTCTCATAGAACGCACCTCACAGCATGTCCTGGCCACCCTGCTCCCAATACAGTGTGGGATGTGGATGTGGCTCTCTCTGGAGCAGATCCGAATTCTCCCATGTCCAGATTAGGATCTACTCCTCAGAGCGCACCTCACACTAACCTAATAGTCACATCCCACCCTGTATTGAGAACATCTCCCCATGAATAATAAATACAAATATAGGAGATGTTCCCAATATGTATTTGCTCTCCACTGGACACATACAGACCTCACAAGTCACAACTACACCCCACTATATATTGGTAATATCTAATCAATAATAACATACAAGTATGGGAGATGTTCCCAATATGTGATTGGGACACGTTGGTGAGGTTCATGTGAGGAGCAAACCCAAACTCTAAAATAATGATATGTGTCATGTCCGTATAATAACAATCAAACTCCACGTCATAAATTCATAATCATTCCGAGTGTAATGGTTAAAAAATAAGGGTAAATTACAGATAGGTACACTGTACTTTGGAGGTAGTGACAGATAGGTACCTGATCTTTCAATTGCAATACTTGAGTACCTTAAACTTTCAAAAATAGACACTTGGATACATCCGTTAGTATTCCGTCAATTAAACATTACATTATGCCAAAAGTACCCTTCTTGTGTATTTTTAAGATCATTCCCAAGTAATTAAATATCCCTCCATGATGACATTCTCACATGGATAGCAAATAACATATTCAAATTTTCCGATAATGGCATTCTCTAGTGATGATTTTTACTCTATAGAATGATCTTGAAAATACATGAGCAAGGCATTTTTGAGATTATGTAATGCTTAACTGATGGAATACTAGCATATGGACCCAAGTGTCTATTTTTGAGATTCTAGAATACTCAAGTGTTGCAATTGAAAGTTTAGGATACCTATCTGTCACTACCCCCAAAGTAGAGGGTACCCATCTTTAATTTACCCAAAAAATAAATAGGTAAAAATTATCAATTACATAACAAGATGGGATCAATGATAATGCCCTACATGAGTGATAAAATCCATGGGACCTATACTAAGAGGTTAAATGATTGTGGGCCCCATGTATTTTATGACTGATGTGAACGCTCAGCTAATGCTATTGATGGAAAATTTTAATTTACTAAAATACCCTTTCAAAATTCATATTAGTAAAATGAATGATATTTCAAAATGACGAGATTTAGAAATGCTTAACAAGCACATAAAAGTGAAATGAGAATCTTTTTTGAAGCCAACTCATATAATACTAATGGAAGGGGAAAAGTGTTGGAAATTTGGAATCTAAATATAGGGTGGTAATCTGTAACTTACCCAAAAAATAATCATTTCGAGTGTGATTTACAAGGAAAACATGACCTTGATAAGTTATCCATTGAAAATGAGCATTCCCGCCTTGGGTGTGTTTGATTAGGCTGTTTCTACCAAGTCAGGGCCATGTAGGCATTTTGCTTTTTTCCTCCATTTTTCTTTGTTTGATTGAATGTTTTCAAGTCATTCAAGTAACATGAGTGTCTTGGGTTCAGTGATAATCACTTTTGAAGAAAATGTCATTTCAACATTTCTTGCAATACAATAGAAACAATGTTCTCACTTTTTGCTTATGTAGTGCCTAAAAGCACAGATATGGCACAAGTATTAATATAAAGCATGCACTAAACCTAGAACAACTTTACTGAATTTCAAGGTATAATAAAATGATATTGACGCCAAGCATAGCTTAAACAAGTGAAAGTTGTCTTAACTGAGTGGGTCCCCCCCCCAAATTGTGTAGCCCCATGAAACAAAAAATAAATAAAAGCCGAAGAAACTATTTATAGATAGGATTCAACTATGATATCTGAAAAATATTTGACCAATCAATTAGAATCATAAAGTGGAAGCCAATTAGGTGTTATTCATCAAAATTCATGGATGGGTATTGATTGATCAAAACTCTTTCAATACCATGTCTTTCCCACATCATAGATTTTCCCTTAAAGATAATGTCAAGTTCATTTTTACTACTACGTGGTTTTAGCCATGCGATTCATGGCCTTGTATTGCTAAAACCCTAACACAATGTTTTCTTTGGGCCTAGTGCCACTTTGTTTTAACTCTGAAATCAGCCCATCCCCCCATTCCTGGTGGCAGTGAGATTTGATCATAAGTCTACTACCTATGTATTTTGGGCCTAGTGCCACAAACAAACATTACTGAACTCATCAAAACCTAGGGGAATGTTTCCTTTATACATGTGCAAATGAGTAAATCATCAAAACCTACAATAGACCAATGAATCATTGAGGACTCTTATCGGCAAGAGTTAAACCGTAATCTCATGGAAGTCCAAGGCAACAAGAATTATCATAGGGATGCATTTATACCGGCATGCCATACAAATAATAACCAGTAGAAATTTCCATTTAAAAGTCTCCATCAAGCTCATTCAATGTTTTAACACTGACAACTAATAAATAAAATGTAACCTAACAAAGGCAAATCAATGTTTTATGGATCCTTGCTTCATCGAACCGCACAAAGCCCATATGGTAAAAAAGAAAAAAAAAAAAAAAACAAGGCTACTCCTGTAAACTAAGACATGAGAAGATTGGAGTCCTGTTTATGAAGCTGTAATTATCTGGGCTTTGTTGAATTTAACCTGGAACCATTTCATTGCATCCTCTTTTGTGACTCTGCTGTATGCCAACCCGAGATTTGCATCGGCATCGCTCACCCGATAACCAGGGCGCTGAAGAACAACATAGAAGTCCATTCCATAGATTCCAGTTGAAGGATCTTACCTGACCAATATTTTGATACATTCAACAAAAAAAAAAAAAGAGAGGGAGAATCTTGGCTTGAATGAAAATTTTGAAGTAAAAATAAGCATTTAACTCTTTAGTTCAAACCAAATAGCAAATGAGGTTTGTATTAATTATAGATTTTCACATAAACCAGCCTTAGGCCTGTCTAAGTGTTTCAGGGCCAGAATTGACCAATGCTTGGAAGCCAGAAGGGAATAGGACAGAGTTAGCATAATTTTATCAACAGAATAAGGTATGACCCGCATATTGCAGACATTGACACAGACTATCAGACAAAAAATCAACGGACAAGTACGGATAGACACGATGCAGAATTCTGAATTCCAGCACCCCCTACTAGTAGCCCTCTCCCCCCTATAAACCACATCCTGCCCATAAATTTGACATCAATTGATGGTCAGGATATATTTCCCATGTACTTTGGGGCTACAAAATTTTGACCTAARCTGATTGATCATTCTCCCAAAAATCTATAAGAAAATATTTGGATATATATATATGTGTGTGTAACTAACTAAGTCCACTTGTACAAGACAACTGTACACATGGAAGAATCTCCTAACTGATTTAGTCATCTGTAATACGCCCCCTTAAGTTGGAGCATGAGGATGACAGATGCCCAACTTGGGAAGCAAAGAGAGGAACCGGTCACAACCAAGAGCTTTGGTAAGAATATCAGCCGGTTGTATGGATGATGAAATGTGTGTTGTAGCAATGATCTTGGAGAGCAACTTCTCACGTATGAAATGACTCTTTCTCCACGTGTTTCATTCTTTCATGAAACACAGGGTTGGCAGCAATGTGAAGAGCAACTTTGTTATCACAAAATAATTGCATGGGCTGAGGATGAGGGAGACCAAGATCCGAAAAGAGGCATTTAAGCCATAACAACTCAGTAGTTGCAGCTGCCATGGACCGATACTCAGCTCCAACTGATGAACGGTTAACAATAGATTGTTTCTTGATTTTCCAGGATAATAGTAAAGAACCAAGAGTGGTGAAATAACCAGATGTTGATTTCCAGGTAGAAGGGCACCCTCCCAATCAGAATCACAGTAGGCTCGCAGTTGAAAATCACAATTGGCAGGTAGTAGAATACCATGCTCAGGGGATCCCTTAAGGTATCGCAAGACATGCATGGCAGCATCCCAGTGTTGTTGGCATGGGTCTCCCATGAATTGGCTCAAGATGTGAACTGCATATGTTATCTCTGGACAAGTGATCATCAAATAAATGAAACAACCAACAAGTCTTTTATACTAGTGGGGACATTTAATTGGTGGACCAGCATCTTGTCCGAGATGATGTTGTTGCTCTAAGGGAAAAGCATTGGGTCTGCATCCCAACATGCCACAATCTTTGAGAATATCCAAAGTATATTTGCGCTGACTCAAGAAAATGCCATTAGAGTCTCGAAAGACTTCTATCCCCAGAAAATACCGAAATATGCTAAGGTCCTTGATGAAAAAACAATTATGGTGATATTCTTTGAGAGCAGTAATCCGAGATGGATTGTTTCCAACAATAACCAAGTCATCAACATAAGCAAGAATGGCCAAGAAACTACTGAGCCGAATGTATGTAAAGAGAGAATGGTCAGCCGATGACTAAGTGAATCCCCATTGTTTGAGTGCATTTATAAGGATCTCAAACTAGTTACATGAGGCTTGTTTGAGACCGTAAATGAACTTGTTGAGTTGACAAACGTGATTATCTCCTGCTAGAAGTAAGCCGAAAGAAGGGGCCATATAGACTTCTTCGTGCAATTTGCCATGGAGGAAAGCATTGTCCACGTCCATTTGGTGGAATTCCCAATCTCGGGCAGCCGCCAAGGCTAACAAGCACCGCACAGTAATAAGTTTAGCTACAGGTGCAAAGGTTTCATTATAATCCACCCTATCCATTTGAGTATAACCTTTGGCTACTAGATGTGCTTTATAGCACTCAACTGAACCATCAAGCTTTCGTTTAATTTTGTACACCCACTGGCAACCAATAGGAACTTTACTTGGTGGAAGAGGTGTTAAAGTCCAAGTTTGTGTTCTTTCTAGAGTTACAAGTTCCGTTGCCATGGCTTGGTGCCAACAAGCAAGTTTGTTGGCCTGAATGTAAATTGTGGGTTCAGTTGGTGAATCTAGAAGTGTAGTGGTGAAGGCAGATGTGGGATCCATGGTAATACAATGAGATATGGGATGGGCAGTGGAAGGAGGATTGGAATTTGAAGTGTAGTCAATGGTGGGTTTGATGGTAGGACAATGAAAATCAGCTAAGTGAGGAGGTGGATGTTTAGTGCGAGTGAGTCATGCTGTGGTAAATTGTAAGGGAGGTTCAAATTACACACTAGGCGAGCCTTCTTGATTTGAGCTGGTTGAAGGACTATGGTAGAGGCATATCGGGCAAATCAATACTATTTTTTTTAGTTTTTTTTTTATTTTTTTTTCTGAAATTGGTTCATGGGGGCCGGTTTAGGTCTCCTCCATCCCCTGAACCGGTCAGATCCCTGATACACCCACTATAGGGGCATATCGATGGGATCCCGAAACAATACATATCGACTGATATGGGCCAATACGTGTCGATACTTTGAACCTTGATCGTGAGTCCTAACTGTGAGATCAGCCTGTGATACTAAGTTACCACAAGTTCGGAGTCTCGTGAGATCAGCTATATTGCAAGATCCACTTGTCAATTATCTACAAGTTTTCTTTTTTGATGCAGGGGGCTATACAACGGGCGTAATCCATTTTTCAAACCCATGAACCCCCCAATCCAGATGCAGGCGGAATTCAATCCCAAGTCTCCGCTATAACCAGCAGTAGACCTTACCTACCAGCCAGTTGGCACCATGCAATTATCTGCAAGTTTAGATATTAGCGATCTCCACTTGTCTCTGCAAGTCCATATCGCAGGGGCAGATGAAATTTTGCCTTCGGATTTTTTTCTCCACTTTATTTGAATTGGGTCAAGGAACGAGATCACAAGTACTGAAATTCAAGGCACAACACAACAGATACCATCACTTATACTACAAGGGAAGATACTGGCATCACGGCTGTCTTTGGTATTATATCAAAAATCAAGAGAGTAACCGAAAGTTGAGATAAAGTTTTCCTTTAAGATTAAGATCAAGTTCGGAAGTCCCCCTTGGACCTCGCTTTCTTCATTGACATTTGACACTAGCAATACTCTTCACAACTTTTTTGTTTCTTTGTTTAAGGTGAAAATCAACACAGGAAAAAATAGCTCAAACCCTTGATGTAGTTCCACGTGCCTTGCCTTCTCGTTGCCTCCTTTTATCTCTTCCCAAAATGAAAACTGTTCAATGTCATAAAAACAACTTGCAGGGATGTAGGAATTCAGTTGAGTACTAATGAATTAAAATCACTGACTGTAACAACGAAAAATGCACACCTTCGAGAAAGTTTAAAAATGAAAAGAATCTCTGCCAACTAGATGGGAACAAAAGAGAAGTTCCAAACTTACATGGAAAAGGGAAAGGCAGTGTGCCAAGGAAAGAAAAGCAAGAAAGAAAGACACTGGTGTGTTAGGTTCATGGTTCTGAAAAAGGGTGTGTTCTGTTTTTGAACGGAAAAAAAAAAATGCAAAAGAGGTTGTTCTGTGCATGTTCATTTTATGAACCATGGTATATTATATTAGTAATTCTGGTATTCATGTGTATATCATCTCATATACATCAGTGGACCATGTTGCCTAGTTGAGAAAGCTACAAAAAGCTGTGCTCTGTTTAGACAGTTCAAGGACCATGTATTGCTGGTTCTGGCATGGCATGCTCATGAACCAGACGAAACACGAACGCAACCATGAATCGAACACACCCACCAGACGAGTAAAAAATAGAGCAGTTAGTTGTTGTGATTTTCCCCGCAGAGACAAAGCACTGTTTTCAGATTCTGGCTTCAAGAAAGTCCGTCCTTTATGCAACAGTATTTGCAGCATAACAGCTCTCGTTTATGTATCCTCGAGGACATGGACTCCTCAACTCAACGTGAATATGGAATATACAAACTGCAGAGTCAAAGAAATCACCTTAAAGTGGTTGTTTCTGTAGTTTCAGCTCTGATTCCCAGCTTATAGGTTCATAGCACAATATCAGATTTACCACTTAGAACTCACTTGAACCATTTTCAGGTCTATGGGAATCTGGAGGTCTACGAGGTACCTCACTAGAGTTGTGCTCTGCGCTGTACATGTCATATTCAGAGCTATCAACACTACCACCAAATGCCATCATGTGGAATCTCTGAAGTTCTGAGCACTGACCAGATTCAAGGATAGTGCTCTGGCCGAATTTCACACCATTCGTGAGGTCTGGCACATCACCATTACTATCCAATGCTCTTACCACCTGAAAGACCAGAACAAATGTTGAATTGTTCATTTCAAGAAATCCCCAGTAGAAATACAATTGAACTGAGAATGCAGTGAAATTGGTAGGTGTTAGTTAACAGAAGATGAGGAATGTACATGTGGTTACAGAGTTCTTAGATTCCAAAACAGAGATGGTGCATCCAATAACTACTATACACATAAAAGCAATAACTACTATACATACATACATGTGCATATGTATGTGAAAGTATCACCATCATCATCATCATCATCATCATCCATGCCTTATCCCAAGTATATGGGGTCCGGCTACATGAATCTTGTTTCGCCAATCCGTTCTATTTCATGTATGTAAAAGTATATAATGTTAAATTACCTGGATCATGCGGGGTCGCTTTGGAGCAGAATGTCGAACACAAGCAGCAGCTGCCTCAACCATTCTAAGCATCTCACTCTCTACATATCTTTTCTCAAGCCTTGGATCTACTATTTCATCAAAGTTGCCAGTCTCAAGAGCTCGGACTAAGAGTGGCCTAGCCTGCCAAAGCCACACCAAGGAAATAGTTTCTTTAAGTGCTTATTGAGATGGCCAAAATGGATGCATGACAAGGTTTTTCTACTGTCTATAATTCCCAAATGAAGATTGAATCTGAAGATTGTGATTTTGTTTCTTCAAGGAAACAACTAACAAAAGGAAACCAGTAAGCAGAATCATGGCTATATAACCTGAATAAAGGGATAGGTATGGGAAACATGATAGATGATCATATGCATTTGGATAAAAAATACTTGGAGATATATTTTCTTGAAAAATTAGTTGATATATTTAGGGCATGCATGTATGACAACTTAGGGATATAAGCATGAGTTTCAGTAAGTCAAACTTTTGTTATTCCGAGTGGTTGTGTTGATAGGGATCTACATTGAACTTTCTCCCCGGCAGTGTTGTTTGACATGGACAATCACAATATGAAATCAGACTCTCTTCACTGATTCTCATTATCATCTAAAGAACTGTCCACAATTATTCTTTCTCTCTCTGTTTTGAATTCCCACAATCCTATTCTCAAGCTATCTTGAGAATTGTAAAATTATTGATTCCTTTGAGGTACGTTGAATTGTATAATCTTTCTTGATTACTGCATAGACATCTGAGTTGTGTGAAACATATGTAAAGATCCCCAAAAGGGAGAAGAAACAACAATATCTTTTCCTTGATAATTGACATTATAAAGGAAAAAGCTTAAGGCATAAGAAACAGATTTCTATGGTTTTTAGATGTACCCATTCAACTAAACTCTCATTCCCCAAAGGTTGAGTTCGATCAATAGGTTTACGTCCTGTCACAAGCTCCAGAAGTACAACTCCAAATGAGAACACATCAGATCTATCAGTCAACTTTCCACTGGATGCATATTCTGGAGCCAAGTACCTGAGAGCAAAATTGAACATTCAAAAAGTGGGAACTGCATCAATACATCTTTCTGTGAGCCAAAAGAAGAAAGAAGAAGAAGAAGAAAAATATAATAGTTTGAATTACAAATAATATCACAATCTGCAAAAAGGAAAGTTAGGGAACTTATCCTTTATTTATTTATTTATTTATTTTATTTTATTTATTTATTTATTTATTTTTTTTTTTTTGGGGGGGGAGGTAGCACTGTTGTTTTATCGGTCTCACCTAAATTATCTTCTACTAAAAGAACAGTTAACCTTTTTGAAAGGTGCAGTCGAGTGTTTCTTGTACATGGACACAGGGTAAGAATCTGATGGAAGTCCAAGAGCAAGATGAGAAAACATGGACATGCAGACACATCTATGGAAAAGTATATACTAATAAAATAGTTTGTCTTCAAATTTTAACATTATATACCTGCAAAATTGTTATTTTTGTTAAAGTAACATTTGATACTAAAAATGACATTCATTTTGTATATTATCTGTTCACTTATCAGAATCGATGCAACACTGGCAATTGGTTGATTAATGGATTCTTTTCTGACCATATTAATTTTGTGATCTATTGAAATGTCTTGGTTGATGTCCTGATAATTTGCATGTGGCCATTACCATTTGCAACACTCAACAGTGAAGCCTTGATCCACACCCTCAAAACAGAAAAAGAAATACAAATGTCTAGCTCGCTAAGGAGATTAACTACTCATCCACAATAAAATATGTGACCTACCCAAATGTCCCCATAACACGAGTCGATACATGGGTGCTACTATCATTTGTTAATTTGGCAAGCCCAAAGTCTGCGACCTGCATTCCAGATATGTTATGGGTTAAAGAAATAGGTCTTGAATTGTGGAACAGGTTATGAAACATGCAAACCAGAATTCATAGTAGGTAAAATGTAACCAAAATATTCATACCTTAGCTTCAAAATTATCATCCAGCAGAATATTTGCTGACTTGATGTCCCTGTGGATAATCTTTGGATGACCTAAGAGAAAAGGTAAAGAAAGAGCAAAATAAGCAAAACTCATAATCAGCTTATCGATTCTTAACTTGAAAATCAATGCATAGCACCGGAAGATAAACATATTACCAAGAAAACTTGATAAACATATCCATACACAGTGTAGTACAACAATTTTGGGAGATATGTCAATGTAAAGACATCACTATATGAGTCAAAAGAAAGAATACAAAAATACATTGACAGACATAAAAATGCACTTAAATACATGCATAAATACATATTATTTGAAAAAATATGCAACAAGTGAGCTACCTCCACATGCTAAATATATGATAATTTAACATAAATTGGATTTGTCAGCCTCAATGAACTCGTATTCCCCATGACATCACAGCCACTCTAATAACAACCTGCAAGGTTTGATTGATAAGTCACCCCTTCTGTGGAACAGCCAATTGGAGCCAACCACTTCTATCTGCCTGAGGTCTAAACTTCTTACCCTACAACTAATTGTACTTTCTAGCCTCTGCATCTTTCCTAGCTTTTAATCTATGGTGAAAGGTTAAGATCCTTTAACCGCTTCGCTTTACTATACATAATACAAATGGTTCTCCATTGATTGGACAAACCAAAATTTTTGAGATGGTAGATCATGCATGCAGTATTAAGAAGGATATGCAACTACTAAGAAGAAAAAACAGAAGAATTAAACATGACAAAGGTAAGCCTCTTGATTAAAGTAGTTCAAAAGGAAAGACACTAGAAAAGAGTACCAATTACCAAAACTAGGTCTGTCAATGATATCTGAAAATCTGCGGCCCAATCCGACATCCGATCCAATTATCTCGAATTTGGATGATATATTTATGTAATTGAATCAGATTCGGGTTTTGCAAAATGCATCTGATTAATAATTGGAGCAGATTCGGATTTGACTCCATCAGATCCAATTAAAATCTGAATCTGATTATATTATAATCTTTATTGATTTTAATATATAAATTTTATATAATTATATTTAAAATTATAAAAAATATATGTTTTATATATTTATTATATATGAATTTATATATAATAAATTCAGTATGTTATATTTACATTAATTTACTATATATAAAAGTTGAAAAGTAATTAACTTTTTAATTTTTTGTATTTAAAAATTTAAAGCGGAGTCAGATTAAATCGGAACCCAATCCAAGTCCGTTAGGATTCAAATTCGAATCCGAGGTTTTCAAAGCCGACCCAGTTTCAGATCAATTCAGATGTAAGATTTCAATAATTGGATCGGATTCAGATTTTTTTTTTTTTATCAATAACAGTGAATTCTATTAATAATTGAAAGATTAAGAAGTTACATAGAATAGGAGCTAAAGAATCTTTACTCCCTACTACACCAATGTACACCCAAACCATGAAACAACTACAAAACAGCCCAAAAGAGAGAGTTTCTGTTCACCCCTTGCCTAGCAACTCCATCTGCCAAAGAATTTGCACTTCTCATTATCCATGTGCAACGAACTTCAATGTCCTTAGTCAGCCACTTAAACTTCCTCTTTTCATTGTAGTAAGTCCAGAGCTTAGAGCTATCCTCTTTTAGCCAATTCACCACAATTTCAGAATCACCTTCTATGATCAGTTTTTTAATATGCATGTCCTTGGCCCTTTGAATCCCTTCAAGAGCTCATAGAATCTCAGCTCTCAAGGAATCTCCCACCCCAATTGGACCGGAATACATAGCTAACAGATTCCTTTTTTCATCTCTTAACACTCCCCCTATTCCGGATGGCCCTGGATTGCCCATGCTGCTGCCATCAAAATTCAGTTTGGTAAACCCTTGAGGTGGAGGTGTCTAGCAAGAACTTGAGGTCTTCTTAACTGGAGCAGAATCTGCAATCTCCTTCCAATTTCTTATCCTCTCATCAACTGAGAAATCTGTAAAAAATTCCAAAGTTTTCAACCAAAGTATCACCCTAACATGGATACTCTCCAAGATTACTTCCAAGCTTCTCTCCTTATTTGAGAAAATCCATGAGTTTCTCTCCTCCCAAATAGTCCAACATATTGCAGCCCTAACACATCTCCACATGATCTTGGCCCTTTTTGTTGTCTAGTGAGGCATGGAAGTGAATAAACTTTGCACATTCAAAGGGGGGGGGGGGGGTCTACCTGCACCCAAACAAAGAAGTAAATCATTCCCAAATAACTTTAACAAACTAACAAGAAATTAGTAAATGGTATCCAGACTCACCATCAGATTTACAGAGGACGCACCGGTGAGGAGACAAACAACTATTGGGTCTTCTTCTTTGAAGTAAATCCCCTGTATTAACTCTTTCCAGAAAGGCTTCCCAACAGAAACTCCCAACCTTTGGAGGGATAGGTTGACACCGCACCTCTTTAACCAGGAAGGACAGTCCAATAGAAGGAGTTCGACTTCCATCAGGGCAAAGCCCGTTAGAGCAGCCTTTATAGCCTTGCATTGAGAATATCTCCATAGTTATGTGCTTTATTTCATGAGGAGATATTCCCAATGTAAGGTTGCAAATGGTGGTTGGAACGGTGTGGGCACGGGCTTGCCCTGAGGGAAGCCGATCTCCAATAGAAGAGGGGGGTAAAAAGGCCTTAAAGAAAGAGGCACAAGTGTAGGACCCCGAAGGAGTGAGAGTCCAGATTCTATTATCTGTCTTTGTTGGTTCAAGGAAAACCCCATCTAGAATGGATAATAAAGCTGAAAGACAATCTAACTCTGTGTCCTTGATAGCTCTTCTCAAACCCAGGTTCCAACCAAAACTAGAAGGTGAATTAGAAGGTACAAGGAAGGAAGAAACTGGTTCATTTTTAAGGGTAGAGATAGCAAAAAGGCCTGGAAATTGATCTTTCAAAGAGGAATCCCCAACCCAAATATGATCCCAAAATTTAATGAGGTTGCCTGAGTGCAAATCATACTTGATCCAGGGAGAGAAAAAGGGAAAAATAGCTTGAATAGTTTTCCAGGGAGATGCTCTTGTAGTCCTTGCTAGAATCCCAAAGTCCCATCCATTATCTGCCACCCCATGAATACCACTCACTATCTTAACCCAGAGTCTTTTTTTCTCCAATGAAAATCTCCACAACCATTTCCCTAGTAGTGCTAGGTTCATATTCCTTATATTCCCAATTCCTAGGCCTCCCTCCTTCTTACTCATACACACCATCTCCCACCTAACCCTATGGTCCTTCTCCTCCCCCGACTCCCATAGAAAATCTCTCATTAGTTTTTCTAGCCTGCTAGCCACCTTAACCGGAACCTTAAAGACTGACAAAAAGTAAACAGGAAGGTTAGCAAGTGTGGACCTAATTAGAGTGATTCTCCCTCCCAGAGACAAATAGTTTTTCTTCCAGTTGGCAAGTCTCTTTTCAAACCTCTCCACAACAAGAGCCCAAAATTCACCTTTTTGAGGGTTATCTCCCAATGGTAAACCAAGGTAGTTTAGAGGCCAATTAGTTACTACACATCCCAAAATGTCTGCACACTCACATACCTCCCCTTCCCCATATTGAATCCAACTATACAACTTTTCTCAAAATTCACTTTAAATTTTTGACATTTGCTCAAAAAGTTGTATARTGAGCTTAAGATTTCTAATCCTATTGATATCCCCTCATTCCCAAAACAAAATTGTATCATTTGCAAATTATTCTCCCCAACACTTCTGCAACCAATGTAAACAGGAAAGGGGATAGGGGATCTCCTTGTCTAATCCCTCTAAAAGCTGGAAAGTAGTCCACCACTATCCCATTCACCAAAATGGAGTAATGGCAACTCCTAATACATCCCATCACCCATTTGCTGGAATGTCTCCAAACCCAAAGTTGATCATCACCTCCAGTAGAAAAGACCAATCAACCAAGTCCTAAGTCTTTTCCAAATCTAATTTAAAAACCACCCCTCTTCTCCTGAATCTCTTAAAGTCCTCTAAGCTCTCATTTGCTACAAGTATCTGATCTGTTATCTGCCTCCCCTTCACAAAAGCTCCTTGATTATCTGCTATGATTGCTGGGAACACCTTCCTGATTCTAATGGACAACACCTTAGTAATGATCTTATAAAGGCTATTAACTAAATTGATCGGCCTGTAATCCTTTAGATGGCTTGCATCCCTTTTCTTGGGTACCAATGCAATGAATGCGGAATTTAGCCCAGGGTTAATCACTCCTCTGGTATGGAATTCATCAAATACCAACCTTAGGTCCTCTTTCACTATCTCCCAACAATCTTGGTAAAAAGCCATGGTAAAACCATTTGGGCCTGGTGCCTTTGATCTATCCATTAAAAATACCACCTCCTTTATCTCTTCCAAACCAAATTTCTTTTCCAACCACTCCCTATCTTTTATCTTCAGTGTTGGYCATTCCAAGCCCTCAAGCCACACCCTATTACAAAAGTGCGGTTTCAGGAGGAAATAAATTGGAGGYAGAAGTCAAGATGTAAATGGCTGAAAGAAGGGGATAGGAATACTAAGTTTTTCCATGCCATGGCAAGTGCTAGAAGGAGAAGAAATTCTATTTCAAGTTTGGAGATTGAAGGGGTAACAGTTACTAATTGAATTCGGATTTTTCTGAGTCCAATCCAATTACAGCCCTAGCCAGAACTGACATAGTACAATCGAGAAAGCTAGAGAGGCTCTTATTGTTGAATGCAAAGTTAGAATCATGCAAAGATCCTTTTGGTCAAAATATTTCAAGGTAACTACAAAATGTGCAGTGCAAAATATAGCAATGACTTTAAGTATAGATGAGACAACAACAAATACCTCAGAGAGACTACTTTTGTTGTAACCTTGCTCTGATAATCCAGAGAGAGAAAGAGAGAGAGAGAGTATGGTGAATAAAGTGGAAGGGTGCATCTAGGAAATATTTAAAAAATAAAATAAAATTCTATAGGACAGTTACAAGACTAGATGTGTTGTATGAAGTGGAATGCTGGGTAATAAAGGAGCAATATATCCATAAACTGCATGCAGTAGATATGAGGATGCCGGGTTGAATGAGTGGCAATACTAAAAAGGAAATAACCGAAGATGAGCACATTCAAGAAACCTAGGAATAGCCCCAATAAGAAGCAAGATGCAGAAAAATTAAGAAGATGGTTCAATCACATGCATGAATGGCAACCTATTGCACCAGAAAGGAATGGCCAGATGCATTTGAAGGTTCTCAAAGTCCATGAGAAAGCCAAAAAGGATGTGGATTAAAGTAGTTAAGGGAAACCTAATGGTTCAAAATTCAAAATGTAGCAAGAGGATAAAGAACTATATATAGTGGAATTCAGAAACAAGATTCATGTATCCAACCTAAAATAGTTGAAACAAGGCTTTATTGAGTTGAGTGTTTGGTGATTTCAAGTTCATACTTGTACTTGTCCACAGAAAAAAGAAAAAAAAGGAAAATAAAAAGTCCAAGCATGTCCAAGATACTTTTAGAATATAAATAATTTACAAATAAATGAAGGGGTTTCATTAAGCACAGAGCAGTTATAGACTTTAATAGAATCAATGGTATGACTTACAGTCTTCATGAAGATATGCCAACCCACGAGCAGAACCAATAGCAATTTTTACTCTCTTTGACCAATCTGTTACAGGAATTTCTTTCTCTGAAAAGTGAGCATCAATTTCAACTTAGCGAACACAGCAATAAGATCCAGAGTAGTCAGGTAAAGTAAAAAGGATTTATCATTTTAGCAGCAAAGACTTACTGTGCAGATGATGTTCAAGAGTTTTATTTGGGACAAATTCATAAACAAGCAATCTATGATGCTCAGCAATGCAGTATCCTACCAAAGAAACCAAATGCCTATGGTGAACACGGCTAATGATCTCGACTTCAGCTCGGAATTCCCTTTCCCCCTGTCCACTACCGGCCTTGAGCTGCTTCACTGCCACTACTCTCCCATCTGACAACGAACCCTTATAAACACATCCAAACCCACCCTCCCCAATTATATTCTCCTGAGAAAATCCATTTGTTATTTCCATCAACTCTTTGTAGCTGAACCGCAACTTAGCACCATCAATGATGCCTGGTTCTGGAGCCGGAGAATAGCATCCACAATAGTTTTCATTATCATTTACAGTAGCAGCAGGTGGGGGACCTGCACCATAGATGGGATTAGATTGACCAGAATTCCCTATTGTGTTCTGCTGTGTTCACTGCTGTCAATAGAAATATGCATCTATGGTAACAAATTGGATCATTAAACAACGAAAATCATGCATTGCAAAGACATTAAGGTGGGTGGCGTTTTACCTGGCTGGGCTGGGAAGCTATTGGGTTTAGGTCTGTTCTGATCCGCAAAGGCTTCTACTTTTGCCTTTCTCTTTCTTGCCATCACAAGGAGGAAAGCGACCAAGAAAATCATTACCACTCCTGCTAATGTTATACCAATAATAAGCACACTTCCAGGAAATTCAGTTGATTTTGACGAAATGCTGGATGAGATGGAAGAACCAAAATCTGAAGGTCTAGAAGGAGGGGTTATCTTTGGGACATTATTTGATGTTTGAGATGTTGGAGTTGATGTAGACGGAGTTGCATGATTGGCCTCATTGGAGGGAACAATATTAGGGGTTGGAATTGCTGGTGATGAGCCAGGAACTTGAGGAGATGGGATGACACTGAGAGGACTTTTAGGCAGGGGAGGGGAGACAGTTTGTGCCGGTGTTGTCAATCCTGGACTTCCAGCAATTGGGGGAGGAAAAGAATTAGATACTTCTGGAGCTGGAATAGATTCAGGAGAATTAGGTGGAGAAAGAGAAGGGTTTTTTGGAGAAGGAATGATGGAAGGAGGTGGCTTATTAGGAGCAGCTGGAGGAGGATGAACAATGTCGGAATCTGCTGCTGCTGGTGGTGATAGTGCTGGAGATTTAGTACCTTGTTCTTGTGAAGAGTTTGCATTTGATGGTGGTGGGGGCTTTGAAGACCCTGAACCTGATGGGGGTGAAGGTTCTGAAGAGCCAGAATATTTTGGCGGAGTAGGTGGTGAAGATCTTGAATATGGCGGTGGCGAAGAATTTGGAGAAGGTGGTGAAGGTCGTGAATTTGATGGAGGTGAGGAAAACGAAGAAGAATCATTTGGTGGAGTGGTTTTCGATGATTGGGGTGGGGAAGAATTTTGTCCCTCAGTGGGTGGTGATGACCCCGTTGGTGAAGTAGGAGGAGGCTCTGCTGGTGGTGGCTCTTGAGCATCAGAACTAGTAGGAGAATCATGTGAAGAACCCGGGGGTTCTTCTAAGTCTGTCATCATCCTTCTTAACCTCCCCACTTTCTTAGTATTTCTTTTTTCACAATTTCCTCAGTCTTCCCTCGTCTTATAGTTCTTAATCTCTATGAATATCTCAATATTTCTTTACAACAGCACTGGATGGAAGGGGGAGGAAAACATGAAAATTGCAACACTGCTTATATCTATACAAATATCAATAAACAAGATTAGGAAGCTCTAACCACAGAAATAAAAAATCATTTCTTTATGAGAAGAAGAACATGCTCGGTAGAGATTGGGCTACATTGCTCAAACCTGCATTATGTGGTCCGCCATTAACGACACTCAGGATAAGATTTTCTGAAATTCCCGACAGAACAGCAATTTGTCTGAGACACAACGAACTCAGAAAGAACCACTCGGAATTTTGGCTCCAAATCTGGCGGAACCTCCAGATCTGTTTCTCTGTTCTCGCTAACAACCCTAAGAATTCTCTTCTATCCTCCATTTCTAAATCTAGCTATGGTGCTCTGAAACTCTAACGACTGCTCGTTCTTTTTTCTAATACCTCGTCCTGAATTCTCGGAAACTCTAAATTGATCACTCGTCTGTAGAGCGCGGGGTGTATAATATCCTAGGTACTTTCGATGCATCCAGTAAGCTTTGTATTACCATCGGACCGTCCAATTTCGCGCTTTTATGAGTTCGAGTTGGCTGAACTCCAGATTTGCTCCTAATGGAGCGCACCTCACACGGGCTTCACAACCCATCCCACCGTATATTGGAAGCATCTGTACTTTATGTTATTATTCATGAGAGATGGGTCTGTGCGGTCCCTGTGAGGTGCGATGTTTAAGGAGCAGATTTCGATTCAGTTAGCTGTGGATTGGTGGCTCCCAGTCTCACGTAAGCATTGTATTACCTTGCGAAGCGGGTGGAATCCCGCTTCGGTCAATGCAAGCCGCGTGCTTACACCGTTCGCACACCGCGAGACGAGCCACGCGTCCTTCGGCTCGTGCAACGTCTAAATTCGTGACGTCGTTAGCTACTTAGCTGATTAGCTCCCCTCTCAAATGAATAATGAATTAATTTCATGCGATGGTTTTCATTTCCCTTCCCGCTTCTCTCTCCCGAACCATCGAACCCCTGTTCGTTCTCTCCCTCTCCTACTGGCGGCGACGAAGGGCATCACCGCCGACGATGAAGAGCATCACCGGAGACTGTTAACACCGACGACCGGCGGCAAATCTCAGGTATTGATTCTTTCTTTTTTTTCTTTCCTAAATCACTCTCTTCAAAACCAAAAACCCCTGTTCACTCTCTCCCTATCCAACCGGCGATCGACCATTGGCATCACCATCAAAAGGCCTTACTCCCTATTGCTCCACATGTAGTAAATAGGAAATWTGGCTTCTTAGTTTCTAAGTTACACTTAAGAATGTCACAAATTTGGGAACATGACTGTTTGTCTCCTACGTGATATGGAATTTATACTACCAGATACAGCATTTATGTACTTGATGTCTGATGTTATATTTTCACAGTTCCATCTTATGATTGAGCTAAAATTTCAAAAGCAAAGGAAAAAAAAGCTCTTGTTGCATGAAATAAATCTTCAAATTATGTAATGTTTTCAACCATGCTACTAAATCTTTTAAGTATTTAAAATGAAAATAAGCTTAGAGAGAAAGAAGTAAGCTTAAATTAAAATTCTAAATGGCTGGCATATCCTTCCAAGTAATTATAATTTTCACTTATGTCCTAATATCTTCTTGTAAAAAGTCAATCAATCAATTACAAAGTACATATAATTGATTACGTATATTTATATACATGTTAGCACAAGCTTAAGTGATGCTACAAGACTATGGAGTTTTCAACTTTAGCACTGAAATGACTAATTCTGCTTCGCACTCAAACTCCATGCCATTGTTTTGTTTCTAAGTTCTAAATACAACCTTCATAATCATTAATCCAACCACCAC